CTTAAACGTCTTATTTTGTCCAACCAACGCTCAAAAACCCTAAAATGGTTTTAAAAGGTTTACAATAAAGTAAGACCAATAAATGGAACAAATTATCACATTTGAGAACCTTCAAGCAGCAAATGTTTGTCTGCGTGATGTTGTATTCTCTTATCTGAAGCTTGTAATGCTGCCATCCTGACCAGGTCTCCCTTTAAAAAGAGGTTGTGAAACGAGAGAGGCAGGAGATGATGATAAGCACAGAATTGTGTTAAACAAGCTCAAATTTAGCTTTGTTATTCGAAAAGTAAAATCTAGGCAAACAGATTTACAAATAATTTGCAACTATCAATTATTTTCATTATCGATTAACCTGCTTATTATTTGCCCAATTATCTGTTTAGTCTATGAAGGTTAAAAAATAGTGGGAAACACAACAGATTAATTTCCTTTGGATTGATTTATCAATTCATTGCACCCCTAGGACACAATAATCTCTGCTGTAGGTTTTTTGTTTGTTGGAAGTCACAATTTCACCAAAGCTTTTTCTTTGCAGAAAATATGGCTGACTCACCATGTGAGTCTGTTCCCTCCCGAAAGAAGACACCCAGCAAGAGGACCCAGTTGGAAAATGGTTCTGACTCTCTCCGTCTAATAAAAAAAGCAGTGGTGGTCTTGACCAGACTCCCTGAATATAAGATCAGTGCTCTACGACCTCCAACGCCTCAGCAGTTCTACAGTGAAGATGAGGTGCTCAGCAGCTCTGACTCTGATATGCAGTGGGAGCCAGAAGGTGATTCTAGTGATTCAGATTCTGTAGCCTCAAACAATAAACAGAAAACTGCAAAACCGAAAAAGAGTGACACAACGAGACCACCCCCTCCAGCACCAACAGGCAGTAACAACAACAACAACAACGACAACAGTAAGACCATCACATGAACACCACTTACACGAGGAATTTATAATCCCCGAAGCTAATATGTTGGAATATATACATTTTGTGTTTTGTGCTTTTCCACAGTGAATGAAGTAACCCCCATAATAATATCATCAGCCTTTGCCTATTGCTCTCATGAAACCACAAAGGTTCGTCCGAATTTGCCAGAGGAAGAGGTCAAAGTGGACATGATGGTGCTGGCCAGGAAAAAGCCCATGAGATGGCAACGGGGAAAAATAGTGGAAATAGTTACAAAGGGTAAGAAAAAAAATTTTCAGAAGGAAAGGGATGTTAAACACATTAATTCAACAGTAAACAAAGTCAGTCTGTAAAATCTAAGTACTCATCCTGTATAATACAAGTATTTTGTGCTCAGTATATCCCATAGACCCTGTTGCTAGCTTTTGCTGTTAACCTTTGGCAAATTTATTATTTGATTCATAGAGATTTTGATTCTATTTTGATAATCGGTTAATGATTTAAGTCGTTTTTTTTACTCTTATAATTAATATCAAAACACAGTGACACATTCATCGATTCATTCATTTTGTTCCTTGCAGAAGATGGACGGGTGAAGTACAAAGTTAGTTTTGAAGAAAAAGGGAAGAGCCTAGTTTCTGGACACCACATTGCCTTTGACCCCACACCAAAGCTGGAGCAGCTGTACGTCGGCGCTCGTGTGGTGGTCCAGTGTCAAGATAACAAGTTCCGGTTCCAGCCTGGCGTTTTGGCAGAGCTGCCCAGTAGAAAGAACCGTTTGAGGTGTGTTTGAATGAGCATTTATCCCTACATCTTTGCACCACCGCAATCTTTGGCAATACATCACAATCACAATTTGTCAAGGTTTGATTTTGATATAAAACATATTTTAATTTTTCAGATTCTTGGTCTTTTTGGATGATCACACGCCGGTCTATGTTGGTTTACCTTTACTTCACCTGGTGTGCAGACCATGTAAGTGTTTATTTGTCTCACCTGAGGCCAAATATTTTTTATTCAGTCATGTTTGGTGGATGTTGATGCTGTTTTCTGTAAATAGGAACTTAAAATGCCCTCCATGTTTACCTGCTGTCTTGATAAATTCAGGAGTCATTTTCCACAGCACTAAATCTATCAAAGGAAGAACATAATCATGCCATGCTCACCACTCTGTTTTTCTGAGTTTCTCTTTTCTAACACAAATACTGTTTTCATTCACTAAATCCTGCTTATGTTTCCAGGAAAGGTAAAGATTATGCCCCTTTGAGCAGCTGGAATGCTTTTAATGTGGAACATCTGTATAGGAAATCACGGGTTTCACAGACATGAGCTTAAAAGCAATCGAAAAACAGCAAAGTAGAAGTGATTACAGGTGATAAGAGAAAAGAGAAACTGTTGTGAAGATGCTCATTATGCTAAATTAACCATGTTATTTGCTGTTCAGAGTGCAGGTCATTCCACCTGTTGCTTATTCATTGTTTATATAATATGAGAGGATGCTTTTAAGGTATCCAGATACATTTTTTGGCTATGTGTGGCGCTGTGGAGCAATGAGTGGGTGCCTGTTTTGTTTGTGCTGGGCAAACATATTTGTGTAAGGTAAACATGTTCATTCAAAGCAACTGGAAGATGAGTGACAGACTCTTTGTTTGTTTTTCGACAGTGGAAGATGTTTTAGAGGACATTCCAGACAGCTTTCACAAGCATTTCATGAAGCGCTACCTGAAGGACTGGCCGTACCCACATTTAACCCAGTACAGAGCTGGACAGTCCTTAAATGTAGAATTAACCGGAGTCCAGCAGAGGTGTGAGGTGCAGGTGGTCGACTGCAGCCTGATACAGGTCGTTTTTCAGGTCAGTATCGTTTAACACTGCTGGTTGTTTATATGACGTTCTTTTCCTCTCATTTTTGTTTGAAATATTTTGATATAATGTGGTGTACATGTCATACTCAGGATAATCAACAAAAGGAGTGGATCCACCGAGGCTCCTTACGACTGGAACACATGGCTAGGTTTTTGGAATTGAAAGCGGGGGGAGAGCGTAACGATGACTCTGAATAAAAGATCATAGATACAGGTGAATTATAATGTAGCTCTGCAGAGTAAAAATAATCCACCTTCAATAATTTTCATCATTATCACCCCCAAGTGATGTGCCATTGGATTTTGAAAAATGTAACCCAAAATTAGATTTGCAGTTATGAAATGAGTGCACATGAATAATTCAAGCCCAGTGTTTGTTCCAACCTGATTCTCTTTTATTTTTTACCTTATATGTATGGTACAAATCTGCAGATATAGTTATTGCGATTCCAAAATAAATTGTGCATCATTAAACATAGAAAAAATACTGAACAATGGTCATTTTCAGTTTATTCAGAAATATAAATTTATGTTAGCTTTTGGCAGCATATTCAATCGGCTGATGTACAAACAAGCAACTGTGCATGACACAGACAAGAATATTAACTTCCTCTTTTTTTTTTGAACTCATATTTATAGCTTTCATTAATTGGTCACTGCTCCTGTAAAACATTGTTATATCAAAATATAATTTTTCCATTATTACAAAAAATACTAAGCAAAATACTTGAGGTGATATTGCTGGAACATTTTGAAGAAGTTGCTACATCCTGTGAGTTTTGGGGAGCCGTAACAACAGAGTTTGATATCACTTTTCATTTTTTTTATGTTTTTGATGCTCAATATACCTCGTTTATATTCTTTTTATTTTGATACTGTTTGTCTCAAGCCTTGTCAGTGGTTAAGATTTTGGAACAGATCAGCATAACGCAAACAAGTCAGTGATTCTAGATTCATATTTCTTAAGTCAATAGCCTTTTAATTCTTTGTTGTTGCTGATCAACATTTTCTCAACACTGCCCAATTTGATTATTTGTTTTATACCTCCCATGTCCATTTAGTTTGTGATGCTTTTGTTCCTTTTTTTAAATAATCGAAGTTAAAAAACCTTTTACATTGTATAGCTCATCATTTGCAAGTGTGTTCAGCCCCATTTACAGAAATGTATTAAAAATCTTATTTCTCAACCTTGTTCAGCTTTGTCTTTTTTTTGCTGTGTCCTCCAACATGTTCAGCTCCACTTACTGTAATGCAACAGTGTACAGGCCTTTCACTTAACAGAAAAATCTATGGTCTCAATTTAACTGAAATTCAGATGTTAAATTGACTTGCTCAGTAAATAAATTCTTAGATATGTAACACTTCTCTGTAACAAAACTACTCCCCCCTATTTACAGTATCTCTTCCATATCTATGAAGGCCAGTTAAGCCAGTGTGTATTTCAAAGAAAACACCAACATGCACATTCTTAAGTGTTGTTGAAGTTGCATCAATATTATCAATATTAAACACACAAAATACTGTAGTAAACAGGTATAAAAACACATTGATAATGGAAAGTTCACTGTAACAAGCAGAATGTCAGTGGAGATTCCCCCAAACAACAGTGAAACACAATGTTCAAGAGAACAAAGAAACCCCTGTCCTATTGGTTTAGCTGATGCTAACCCATGATAGATTTAGAGTAAAGCCAAGCACTCAGCCACACATAAAACAAACCTATAGCTATACAACCTTACTGGAAAGAACAGACCAACACATACCGCAAAACACCTGAACATAGAGGAATATAATTACTAGTAAGAATATGAAACCAGTACAAAAACATTAGAAATGTTATAAGGTCATAATACAAAAATCCCATTCCTCCATATGAGACTGAGTGCACTGCTGGGTAGCTTTTGAATATTTAATTGAAGCGAAAAAGACAAAGCAGAAAGACTTGTTGGTCTGGTGTGCGGACACAGGGGGCAGCAGTGAGTCTGTCACGGCTTGGCGTGCGTGGGCAGCGTGAGCTGAAGAAGACGCGGTGTTCAAAAACGCTCTTGGGAGAGCCACGCTGAGGTAAGATTTATGCTTTATAGGAAGTATTTAAAATGCTAAATTCCCAACTTTTACTATAGAAAAAACTTAATGGAGGAATAATAACTAATTCGTTTGTCAAATGTATCTCGGATATTCTTCCCCACCTCCGATGGAGACCAGCTCAAAGCAGTTTCCTTCACACTTGGGGTTAGCTCTCAGGCAGTGGATGAAGCGGTCTGTAATGGCACAGGTCCCAGTGGACAACCCGTTGTAAACGTGTGTTTCTTAATTTGCTCGTGTTTTTAACACAGTCTGGTAACGTAGCTAGGCTCAGGCACTTCCTAGATACAATAAAAACGAAACTTCTGTGTGTGTTTGTGTGTGATGTGACTTGTTACTTCATTTGGATGTTTGACCGTTACTGTGCATAGTGGTGTGACTTAGATAAGTTTCACAATAGGCTGTGTTCACATTCACCAGCTGAAGTTTACTTGTTCAGTCAGATTTGGTGACATTTGCTTCCAGAATTTGCTGATATGTGGTAGATTTAGAGTCGATCTGGCAATGTTTCTGGCTGCCACACAACCCCAAAGTATAGTATTTCCATCCCCATGCTTAACAGCTGACAAAGGGGAGGTTACTAGGCACTGACTTTGTACCAAGGTGTTGCACATACCACACTTTTTACCACGTCTTTATTTTTTTCTTTTATCAAAGTTCATGTAATTGAAGGTAACAGTGCATTGCCATTTGAAGGCTAATTTTAATGTCCTGTTTGCTGCAGGGACTGTACATAACTTCTTTTCACTTCAAAAATCAACAAAATATGCAGTGATTATGGATGGGGATGAGATGGAGATTAGCAAAGAGGAGCTCCAAAAGTGGATCAGAAAGAAGGTAAAGAAGAATGACCTGGTCTCCCCAGATGTGCTAAAGAAATACAGTCTGCTGCAGTCACTGCTGGAAAGGAGGGAGAAACAGGCTGCCCACCTCCTGAAGCTCTGTGAGTGAGTGTTGCATCTTCCCTATGCTCATGTTTCTGCCTCGTGTAAAATCAACCAAAATCAACCATTTTGTTTTGGTTGGTCACCTCATAACAAACAAATTTCTAAAACCTGAGGATCCCCATACAATGGACAAATGGGAAACATTAGTTTCTGTGTGTGTATGCACGTGTGAGACAGATCCTTTGGGGTTATCACAGTCCTTTTTAATAATAATAATATTGATAAACTTTATTTGTATAGCACTTTTCATACACAGAATGCAGCTCAAAATGCTTTGACAAATATAAAAGGAGAAGGGAGTTAATACAGGGAGACTTAAGACAGGGTGTTACTTTTTCTATGGTATTAATGAAATACCAATGCAGTATCTTATTGTTACAAAATGGACATTTTGGTTGTTTACTCTCAATTTGCCTTGTATCCATTTAGTTGATCCTCTGGAGCTGATCATTTGACTGGTGATCTGCTCATGCATCTCTCTGACAAGCTAATAGCTGGGCTGTTTTTGAAAGAAGGATCCCATGTTTGTTTCTCTTCCATTTGATAGTTTGATGGTGGGAAGGACAGAAGAGTTAATCCTACTGGGTCCATAAACTCTACATGTTCTCACTATGAACTCTGTCATAGCTTGTGACTGATGCCAGGCCTGATGCTACATCCCTTCAAGATTGAAACCTGGGTTAATCTCCGGTCGGTGTAGTCGTAATAAGTTCAGCTCTTATCCTGCAGTGCTCCCTAAAATAGAATAAAGTGTCCCTTATAGCAGCGAAAGTTGAATATCCCTTGTGCCAATGATGTCGAAGGGCTGGCCACTCTGTAATGGCTCCCAGTCATTTCTACACAAGATAACATATTGAAATATTCCCAGGCCATTTGTGTACAAGAGGTTTTAATTTCTGTTTATAGGAAGGATGAAAATATTGTATTTGTGTTAAAGTGTTTATGTTTTTTGCCTGACTCCTGTTGCTGTTGATGTCTTGCAGGTCTGTGGCAGCATGTGAAGCGACTGTGAAGAAACAATACTTGTTGCTAGGGTGGGAGTACAGAGACACAGATTCTGATGATGATGATGATGATGATGATGATGATATCAGTGGCTGTGGTAAGATGCGCATCATTTGTAAATGTACTCTTGGTATGTTTGTGTCCACTGATAATTGCTCAGCTATTTTCAACCAGGCAAAATGGCTTATTTTAGTCTGTTTAATCTGCTTTTTACCTTTTGTAGGACGTACACCTCTATCCCCATCTGAGTCCGTTCTCTCCGAGTCTCAAGTCTGCCACCCTCCAGCTACTAATGGTTGTACTCGTCTGTTACCAAATCTGCTGGACAGTGAAACTCTGAATAGAGATGATGGCAAAAAAAGTTCATATACTGTAATAAAGGAATCAGTGGTGGTCTTGACCAGACTGCCTGCATCTAAGATCAGAGCTCTACATCTCACAGCATCTCCAAAACACCAGCGTGAAGATGAACCCTCAAACAATTTGGATTCTGATGTACAGTGGGTACCAGAAGATGACTTCCCTCCCTCAAGGTCAAATAAGAGGAGAAAAGTAGATCGAATGTGGAATGAAACACCTGCTAACAGTGGCGCAACGCCTAAAGCCAGGACAAGCTCTGATGCTGAGATCAATGCAGCGAAAAAAAAAACAAAAGCACCCCAAGCTAATAAAAAAACCAAAGACAAGAGCAAGTCAACAACAACAACAACAACAACAACAACAACAACACCAGCTGACGACAATGGTAACATCCAATGAAAACACAGAAAAAAAACATGAAAAAGCTATGTTTTATGGTCATATACTTTAAGCTGAGACAACGCTGTAGTGTTGTCTGCTCTTAAGCATGGTTTGGTGTTTCTTCTGTTTTTGAGAGGAAACTTATTTTCCTATCAAAACAACAGCAGTCACAATTTTATCTAGTCTGCTAGCCAATTTGATTTTTTTGTTGGGCCATTTGATTTGTATTATATATTGTAGAGTCCATTAGTAGTGATAATATTGGCTGAATTAATGTTAAAATTAATACCAAAAGCTTCGCCCAGAGATTAGCCTGCTGGCTAGTTGGCTACCTGTCAAGATGAAAGCACCAACATGAGTAAATTACAGTGTTGAAGAGAAGATGAAATGAGACAGTTTGCTGTTTCATGTTTTTGTAATCTAAATTGGGACAGATCCATTTTTGTTTGACTAATCACAATGAACTGAATTAACCGCCTACACTGTGACAGCATGTTTTAAAGCATCACTTATTAAGAGAAACTCCTCTTCTTTACATTTTAAAAGAAGTCTATATGCATAGGCTAAGATATTGATTTTAGATCAAGTTCATCAGTTAACATGTTGTGTGTTATTTTCACAGTCACAGGAGCAAGCCGTGTGTGCAGACTATCAGCTCCTTGCCAATCCACGGACAAAGCCACCAAGACCCCTCCTAGCGTGTCACTAGGCGAGCTCCGTGTGACCATGAGGGTCCTGGCCAGGAGGACGGCCATGAGCTGGCAAAGTGGGAGAATCGTGGAAATACTAACAAAAGGTAAGAAATAAATTTTTTAAAAATCCATGAAGCAACACAACACAGAATACAATGCAAAACATTCATCTTCTACCATTTGTTGCTTGCAAAAAAAATGAGGTTTTGTCAAAGTAGTCAGGAGTATTTATGCCGCATATGTTCATCTGTGTGAATTGATTAAAAAGAGTTAATACCATAACTCAAACTCTTCTCAAAGCTTTAAAACTTTGTGATACAATAAAGTACCACAGGACATGATTCGGGCAGAAATATTATAATGTATCTGCCACAAATTCCTGATGCAGAGATTTGACATTACTTAGAGAGAGTATCGTTCAAGCAATTGTTGGATGATGGAGCAAAAAAAATGGCACATTGTGATTTTGTTGTGATTTTACATGATTTGCTTTGTGTTTTATTTTCTTTGCAGAAGATGGTAGGTTGAAATACAAGGTTCATTTTGAAGAGAGGGGGAAGAGTCTCGTGTCTGGTCACCACATCGCCTTTAATTGTATGCCAAAGGTGGAGCATCTGTTTGTCGGTGCTCGTGTGGTGGTCAGGTCTCAAACAGACCTGTCCCAGTTCTACCCCGGTGTCCTGGCAGAGCTCCCCAGCAGGAAAAACCACTTGAGGTGTGTGTTGTTGCAACTTTTTCAGATGATGCTGTTTTTCAAGAAATCAATTCTCTGTTTAATTTTTGCTTTAGCCAAATCATGGTTTGATAAAAACATTTTTTCCATTTTGCAGGTTCCTGGTCTTTACTGATGATCACACACCGGTCTATGTCAGCTTACCTTTGTTTCACATGGTGTCCAAACCATGTAAGTTTAGGTCTCTTCATACAAGAACTGTTTTTGAGGATTTATTTCAGTGACGACAGTTAGGTATGTTTGGTCAACTGTGGTCGAGAGAGGCCGTTTTGAGTTGACCTCTGGCTTTAATTTAGGTAAACTCTAAAAGTGGAGGCAGTGGATGTCAAATAACATAACTGGCTGATGAGTCTTTTACTTGTCTTTCTTTCCTCTTGATTACATAAACATAAATTCTAATTTGCCTTTGATAAAGAATTTGACTCAATGTTTCTGCATTGTATGAAAACCCTTTCGATGCTGATCTTTTGATCCAAGTCCAAACTTTATCCGATAATGACATTTACTGTGTTGTTAGCAAACCAATCTCAACTCAAGGTCCACTTGCTTGCTGTTTTTCGGAGTTTGCACAGTTGCAGTGGAACTGCACGTGATTCTGAGCACCCTCCAAACTTCTCATCTCTGTTGAAATATGAATGAGTTAGATGTGAAATAGGTTTTTGACCCTGGAAACAGCAGTTGACAAAACAGTCTCAACTCAATATCTTACTTGCTTGTCCTGAAGCTTTCAAGCATACCTCACAGTCCTTATCAAATTTGAGATCTATTGTTTCCTATTTTCTGTATGATACTTCTTGCCTTGGAGTGTGCATTGTGCATTAAAAGTCTGCCTTGAAGCAGACTTGATGTTATATACACAAATGCCTAGAAGAAATTTAGGGCTATAAAAAATTAACAAATTACAAGTAATAATTGATAACAAATGATAAAAGTAAGTCTGATAATCAGACTGAGTTTCATTTTCATCTTATCATTCTGCCTGCTGTTTGTCTTGTGTTTGGCATGTCGATCAAAGAAATATGCTGATGTAAGAGTTCAGATTTACAACAATCTGCATAGCTTTGTCAATCTCATCCAAGATTGTTGCTGTTTTTGAGTCGCTCTTTTTCTGGCTCTAGCACAGGAAAATGACATTTCCGTTCTTAATTTCTCCTTCAAAGCCCCCATTGACTTGGTTGTTTTTCCAACTAGGGAAACAGTCATCAACAGTCCCAACACCAGAAATATTTGGATCACTGAAAAGGTTTGGGATTTGAGCAGAGAGCTAGAGTTCTGCAACCTGGCAAGATTACTGATAAAAGGAATTAAAAACTGACCAAAGATTAACCTTTTACTTGCACCTGGTGAAAGTAGTTTACTAAACATAAGTTACTCTGACATACATACATTCCCCACACCTGGTCACCCATGCACTAAAGAGCTTATACTAAATCCTCTATTTTAAGCAGTAAACTCCATCATTTCCATGAACAGCAAATATTGACACAAATGCATACATGTTGTGCAGATGACCCTAAGAGGAATCAGAGACCCAAATCTTTGCACTTGTTGAATCACATAGCACCTACTATTATATTTCTGGTAAGGAGAGAGTGACAGATGTTTCTTTTTTCTGTGACAGTGACAGATCCTTTGGACGATATTCCAGATGGCGCCCACAAGGATTTCATGAAAGAGTATTTGAAGAACTGGCCTTACCCACCCATGATCCAGTACAAGGTTGGACAGCTAATTAATGCAGAATTTAATGGAGTCCAGCAGAAGTGTGAGGTTCAGGTGGCCGACTGCAGCTTGATAAAGGTTGTTTTTCAGGTCAGTACATCTAGATGTCACTCTTGAAAGTTTTTGCAACTGGATTCTTGATGTATTTCTGTTATTTATTTAGATTGTGTTACTTATATAGTCGATGTGTTGTCATATGCAGGAAGATCAACATAAGGAGTGGATCTACCGAGGCTCCACACGCTTGGAGCACATTATTACTATGAGGGAGCATTTGGAGTCAAAAAAAAAGAACTTGGAGAAGAAAAAATCTACAGGCAATCTCAGGCAGCCGAAAGTTAAATTCTTACTGTAAAACAAAATATTCAGTTATTTGAGTTATTCCCAGTCTTATTTGTCTCCTGTATTTCTCCGTCTTGTGTCCTTCAGTAAGGTGAAGAACTTGATTGTGACCACTTTGCAACAAATCACCTCACAGCCTAGCAATGTTTGTGCAGGCTCGATTGGGATGATGAACTGGACTCTCATGTGCTGCTAATGCTTCTGCCTTGTTGGAGTAGCTGAAAACTGTCAGACACAGACATTTTTTGTATCATAGTTTTTGTGTTCTTAAATGAAAATAAATCGTCTAATTTTCTACAAGCTATTTGGCCTTGTTAACTCACAAATGTGCTTATGAAGGAAGCAGTAACTATTTTAGCTGTATGTAAACATAAAAAGTACAAACCATGGAAGCCAATGTCAAAAATTATGTTTAATCCAAATCTTTACAGCTAAATCAAAATTAAGACAGCAAGGTGGGGAACTGCCCAGGGGTCCCCGAAAGCTGCAGGTTTGCTACTCTATTTCTATCCGCATAATTTGATTAATTGCAAATTTGTAAGAAATTTCCACCACATAAGTTTCCATCTTGTGGCCCCGTCTGATGAGGGACCCTGTCTCATAATATAGTTTTAAGACCTTGAATGTGTTTGTTTATATTGATCTCCTTTATTTTAAAGTTGTATTTTATTAAACTGCTCTAAATTTTTTTCTGTGTCAAAAAAGTTATTTTCATTATAAGTAAGCATGCCAGTTATTTTCTTTAATAACTGATTGAGAGACAGTAGTGTGCACATCATTATGCCCTGAAACATATACTCAAATTAGTTCATTTTGTCCCCAAATTTTGAGTTTACTCTCATAGAAAACTAGCAATTATTCACATGCACATATTGTAGCATCGAATTTTTGCATTTTTATTTAAAAAAAAAAAACAGTTTGAGTGATGAATTAACTATTAAAATTGTTGTCAGTTAATTTTCTGTCCGCCAGGCAATAGATTAATCTACTAGTAATTTCTACTGGTTGGTTTAGGAAATATTTAAACTGCCATGTACAGGGTCAATTTTTGATCTGGAGCCCTATAGGAGGTTGATCTGACATTGGATACAAAGTAAAAACTGAGATAATTAAAAAATTTGAACTACTAAGAAAAATGTTTGATTTGACAAAATTGTGAGATATTTAATTTAGTAAATCAATATTATGAGATAAGTTCTGATTTCAGATTTATTAATTAAATAAAAAATGATGTCATAAACATTTGCCCAAATAATATATAGTTTAAATAATACACATATAAATGAACTCATATTTTGGACAATGACAATTTGACTTTAAAATATATTTATGCCTGTTATAACTTGAGGGTAGTGAGCCAACTAGTCAATCTGTGGTTGTTTGTGTACACACCGGACTGAATTAGACTTCGGGCGCTGGGAGGCGTTAGCACCTCTAGTCTGAACCAGAACTAGCTGTACTGAGCAGATAGAAAAAAAGCTGTTCGCCTGCTAGCAACAGAGCTCTGAACATCGGGCTAGCAAGAAGATAATAGAGAAAACTGGAACGCCACCACGGATTTCTTGTGGGACAAACGTACAGGCCTCGCTGCTAAAACGGTAATTATTGTACACGAACTGTTTCATGGCGTTGAATTAGCTACATTCCGACTAAACGGTTAGCACGGTTAGCTAATGTAAGTAGCCGTTTAGCTGGTGAACGTAGCTAAGCTAAGATGGCGGTCAAATTATTTACATTAGCCAATGTTGCTAGAAGAGCATGCTAACTGCTAGTACGTCGCTTGTTGGTCAGTTAGTTAGCTGGTTCGATATATGTTATGATGTGTTGGTGCTTTAAAATGGGAAAAAAATTAGTGATCGTACTTGATGACCAAGTGCTTAGTGGAATCAACAATGTTAACGGAAGCGTTACAAACGCTAGTATTACATCGTTTTTCAAGGTACGAAAAAAGCCTTAGCGACGCTTGTAGATGTATAATTTGAACCTGTAATTTTGTTATGATTTGAAACTAGTATAGTTAAGGCTTAACTGATAATGTCATAATGGTACAATTACCCGTGGATGCCAAGTCTATTTGTTTACTGTTTACAATTGTATGGATCACCACTTTATTTACAGCAGCCAGTGGTGGGTTGTTACTAGTTCAATAGGATCATGCAACAGTGTTATTAAAATGCTTGCCCACATTTGATCGCTATTCTGTTATTTGATTTATTTCCATGTCCGCTTCAACAGTTGTCTGTCTAGCTGCAACTATTTTTGCACAGATTTAGAAACTGTATGCTTCCTCTTGATGCATGTTGACGTTGCAATGTGTTATTCTGTGGTTTGCTGTATTCAAATGTAGGTTAGGCCCCTTGCACATCCACGTTTCTTACCAAACGCTGTGTGTTTACTAAGCTGTTGTCCTCAGTCAAACCTCTGATCTGATCTTACGGGGCAATTAGATCTAACATTTATATTTTCACACACAGTTGAATGTGTGATGACAAAAAAATACTGTTTCTGGCTGCTTCAGCTCGTTTGGGATTAAATTTGTTCGTTTTTCTCTCTTAAAACTGCTTCTACTGACTCCCACAGCTCACTGTCTGGCAGCCACTGATGTGAATATTTGGCAAGAAGAAAAATGTGCACAGGAGTAGCTGTAAAATAAATGGGTTCCTTTATTTGACTGCAGTTGTTCCATGCTATTATAAGTTCAACAAGCATTTCCTCAACTTAAATGGGCATTTTAGCTATGGGCCTCCGTTCTTTTTAATTAATATCCTTCTAACCATCCCTTAGATGCCTCACAATAGACGGTACTCGTCTTCGGACAGAGACAGTCGAAGCAGCTACCAGGACCGTTACAGAGACAGAGACAGAGGGCGAAGACACCGACACAGAAGATCGCCTTCCTACTCATCCAGCAGTGACAGAGACAGAGACCGAGACAGAAGGGGACGGGGACACAGGCAGGAAGGAAGTTATGCACGTTCAAGGAGGTATGTCTGTGTGTATAGTGAGATTTGTTTGGTTTGTCACACTGAAAATAGATTTTATAGCACCAACTCCAGACCTTCAGACTCTTTTAGGTTTGGTTGGTTGCTGGTCTGTAGATTTTAATGTATGATTGTCCTCTGTTTCAGTCGTAGTTATGACAATCGCTCAACGGAGCACCGACCATTTGACAGAAGATACTGCGATCGAGACAGGGACAGAGAAAGGGAGCCACATGGAGCAGCTGAAAGTTACTATCCACGCGACTTCTCCCCAAATATGTATGACTACCGACGTGGCCGCGAGAGGGAACGTGAACGGGATGAGTCGTATAGACGGAAAGGCAGCAGGCGTAAGCACAAACGAAGGCGGCGTAGAACAAGGTCCTATAGCCCATCCTCCTCGGTGAGTACAGCCAGACCTGAGATTGTGTCTTAACTCTCCTCATCTTCTCTCTTTCCATCTCTGTCTCTTTCACCCAGCTCTCTCTGTCTCTGTCTTTCCCTAACCATTTCTTCTTCGCAGCCCCTGGAATTGGTAAGTAGTACAATCTTTATGATTTGTTTTTGTTCTGTCAGAGGGATTTTATTTTATTATTTTTTTGTTTAAGTGGGTTTTGCTTAAATTGGCATTTCTTTTTGGCAGAGCATTTTCATTTTTATGCAAACACTTTTTCATTAGTTTATTAATGATCAATCACAAATTCTTGCTGCTCTTCAGATACACACCCACCATAGCCTTCTTAACTGTAACTGTAGTTACACTTAATTCTGTATCTGTGGCCCTACCTTTCATAAAAATGTATTTAGAAGTTGTCAGTTGTATTGGAAAAAGCCTGTGATAGCAATTGCTTGGCCACTTATGAATTTTAGTGCAGATAGGCTGTAAAAAGTGAAAATGTTCTACCAAACATCATATTAAATTCAGATTTAAATTAAATGTAGATTTTTGTTAGAATTCAGTTTCACAGATTTATTAAAGTACAGTTATTTTGTGGGCTACACTGGACCACACCTGTGTATTAAGAAGTATAAATTTAAGTGAGCAAGGGGTTGAATTAGTATAAATGTTGGGCTATATTTATATGTTTCCTGCTTGATAACATATGGTCCTCTCGTTTTATTTTCCCTCCTGTTTTATCTCAAAAGTCAGCCTGATAAGTTTTGAATTAGTTATTTACTGTCTTAATTGGTTTTTGCGTTGATGAATGGATATGCCAGTTGCTTCCTTGTTTGTAAGCAGCTGTGGTTTAAAGGTAGAGGGGGGAGAGGAGCAGAGGACAACATGTGATCTTTGACTTGTTCCCTTGCACTATATCCCTATCGTTTATATATTTCCTTCACGTGGTGTCATGCGTGAATCGCCCCATGACCACCAAACCCACCTACAACCACAACTACATCAACTACCACCAACACCACCCTCCTCTTCCCTCCTCGTCTACCTGTGCCGCCTGACGCCATGGCTGCGGCTGCCCCTGAAAACCCCCTGTTCCCTTTGGTTGTGTCGTGACCTGCTGATGGCGGTTTGGGTGTGAAAACAGCGGAGCGACAGCCGGACGCGGGCACTGAGTGTGAGGGACGACGAGGAAGGGCACCTGATCTGTCGGAGTGGGGACGTCCTGCAAGAGAGATGTACTCACTGCCACTACTCTATCGTAACCCTTCTCCATATGAGTATTAAAGCATAGAGCATTTACATGACATGGGAGTGCCTGATGATGATGATGCCTTGCTAGAATGCTCTTCGCTCTAGCTGAAATAGCAGGGTGGATTGCAAGAATGTTGAAGATTTTAGGAGGGACTTTAGATACTTTCTCCTTTTTGTTCTAGGATTTTAAACTGTGGAGCATTTTCTATGTTTCACAGGTTACTTGACTTCCCTAAACATAGAATCCCATTTGCAGCTGTTTGTCTCTGTTGTGTTTTAGATTAAAACTCAGTTACAGTTTCAACTGTAACTTCAGCTAGCCATTTTCCACTATGAGGTTTTCAGGGATTTTGTCTGTTTTTTGTTTTTTTTATTAGACATCCAACATGCTCATCACCAACGTAGCCTTATTATAGTACAACCAGCGCACATATAGACAGTACTATTATACTAACACTTTTGTTATTTTCAGCATCATGCATTGTGTAGTCGAAAAACTAATTATTTTTTCCAGTTTTACACACACACTGTGTCCTTTTGGACAACGACGTCCACATCTTGAAAGCATGTGCCCACATTTTCGATGGCTACAAATTGGTCATCAGAGGAAGGGAGTGCTTTACATTTGCCCCCTTATCGTAGAGCAATGCATCTGGTTATCATAGTTAACCTCAAAGTGTTTCAAGCCTGCCAGATTGAATAGGCAGCCATTTGAAAAGGGGATGGGCGCTAGCATGGATACGCCTGTCTACACTTTTGCATTATGTATTTCTGCATAAGTCCACATGTCTAATGCCCCTGTTCTTTCTTTCCCTGCTCTCCCTTTCTCTTCCTTTTCTTTCTGTGTTGTGTTGCAGATGAGATTGTCAGCACTTTGGGAGAAGGCACCTTTGGGAGGGTGATGCAGTGCATTGACCATCGCAGGTGTGTGTGTGTGTGTGTCTGTGTGTGTTTGCATGTGTCTGTGTCTTTTTGTGTGTGTGTGTGTTTGTCAATTAAAGCAAAAAAACAACAGCTGTCAAGGGTCCTATTTCCAAGACCCCCAGTAGGGAATATGTGTGCATTGTGCTTGATTTATTTTTTTATTTTGAAATGTTTTTTGTGCTGCTTGCATGAGATTGGGATGGTAATATTAAACATCCAAATGTGCTTAAGTTTTCCACTGTTCTTTACTGTCTTAGGCCAGTGTGTTGATTAGAGACTTTGCTGGCGTAGTCAAACTAATGTCACTTTGGTGTTTGAAATTCAGTGTGTAGTCAGGCCCTTTTCTGCAAACAGCATCTCCTCGAAGCGAGATTTACACGCATGTGATGTATGTTTTGTGTTTTATTACCTCTTATGTTTACAGGGGAGGAGCCCATGTTGCTCTGAAAATCATCAAAAATGTAGAGAAGTATAAGGAAGCAGCTCGTCTGGAGATCAATGTACTAGAGAAGATCAACGAGAAGGACCCTGATAACAAATTGTGAGTTTTGACTGAGTGCTTTGCCACTACAATCAAATGAACTTTACTTATAAGTAACACTGCTTGAACCAACACCATTCTTTATTAAAACTGGGTGATAAACCAAAATTTATCAGTACTGGCAATAAGTGCCACAGACCAGTATAGTTTTTAATGTCAGAAGTTTTTAATGTCAGAAGATTTGGTAAAAGCCTCACCTTTTTCAGAGAAGCTTTTAAGAGTTACCAAGAAATGTAGTACTAGATCAGTCTCTTTCAAAATGTTTGATTCAGTTGTAGTATGCTGGTATAAATGATCCACTACATCACTGACAAACCTCTTGTATCCTGTTTACCTTGCAGCCTGTGTGTACAGATGTATGACTGGTTTGACTATCACGGTCACATGTGCATCTCCTTTGAGCTCCTTGCTCTAAGCACCTTCGACTTTTTAAAGGAAAACAACTACCTTCCCTACTCAATTGGTCAGGTCCGACACATGGCCTACCAAATCTGTCTTGCTGTGAAATGTAAGTTTGTTTTTATTTCCGCTATTTGATTTAGTACATAAAAAACCTGTATGATTTGGAGAATTAAGAATGCATTTAATCCAACAAATAGAAATACCAACATATTTCTAAATTGTTAAAATAACCAACAGAGCATGTTCATTGAATACACTTTCACTCTTCTGACTTGAATTTTTATGTTCCTGTAATGAAGCTTTTTGACTTAATGCCGTTAAATTAAGAATAATTGTTTTCCCAACAAACACACCCTCATTCATCGTCATATTTTCATCAGTTGCCTATATGTGCAGTGACTTGAGTAAGAGCAGTTGTTGTTTGTGTTAGACAGCCTGTAACCACATGAGGGCGTTACAGCTCCAAAGCAGATTGGGACTATTTACTTAATATGCATTTCAGGAAGAAATAATGCTGTATTAATCCCAGTCTGGTCTATCAAATTGTGCAGTTTACCGTCTGTAATGTTAGTGTCTTTATGGATTCTATTCTTTTTACTATTCCAAATGTTGTTTTCATTGTCTTAGTTATTGGAATATTTTTAAAAAACTGTTTTTTTCAGGTTTCATTACAATCATCACCATCATCATTATTTGTCGCAATAATGTTTAATCTAATCTGAAATGAATTAAGATCAGTGCACTGAATGATTATTACATGGATTGTAACAGCTTTGATTTAATTTACTGTCAGATGTGAAAGATTAAGTTAGTAATGTTTTTTTTCTCCGTAGTTCTCCATGACAATAAACTGACACATACAGACTTAAAGCCTGAAAACATCCTGTTTGTCAACTCAGACTTCACAATGTACTACAATGTAGAGAAGGTAAGAGGCAGTGAACAACTACTACAACAACAAAGTTTGCATAAGACGTTGTAGAAAAGTCAGTTTAAGCTAGGTAGTTGTGAGAAACACTTGTGTTTTCTATCCTGCAGAAACGAGAAGAGCGGACGGTTAAGAGCACAGCAGTCCGTGTAGTGGACTTCGGTAGCGCCACTTTTGACCACGAGCACCACAGCACCATTGTGTCCACACGGCATTACCGTGCCCCCGAGGTCATACTAGGTAAGAATGACTATAAGCTGTTGGCCGTGAATTGATTATTGTGTGATTATTTCCACTAATCACAAGTACAATCAAAACAAGGACCAGTTACTTAACAGGGAAATCATTTGGCTCAACTCAGTTGTTTGTAGTTCATAGTAGTAGTTCTTGCAGAAACAGGCTTCGTCCTACAAGTTGAAACAAGCACAGTTCAGCGTCCCCACCCTGATTTTGCTGAAGTTTAAGGTTCCTTGTTCTGCAAGAAATAAGCAGCATTAACCATAGCCTGGAGTACCCTGCATCTATGATACATTTTTCTTTGTATTTTCATATATTCATTATGTATTTCTGTCCTCCAGAGCTGGGCTGGAGCCATCCATGTGATGTGTGGAGCATTGGCTGTATCCTGTTCGAGTACTACCTAGGCTTCACCTTGTTTCAGGTACAACAGCACCCTACTCCTGTCAGCAGGTTGCAACCAATACCCTGGCCTCACTCAGCGTTTAAGATGAGGAGAATAGCAGGTTAACTGGTCAATATCATCAAACATTGTAGAATCACCCCCTATTCAACTGTCCACCTGTTGTGTATTCCTAACATGTTAACACAGCTCTGCCTTCATCCTAGAGGATGTCAGAGTAATATTAGAGTTGAAGAAAGTTAAATAGAAACTAAATGAGGACTGATTTCCCACTCCCAGAAGCTTCATAAATGTGGTCTCAAATGTCACCAAACAACGAAAGAAGTGTGTTTGGCCAAATATACATGTACATGGCACGTGTAGCAGCAGTTAATGAATCCAGCTGTTAACCTGTTAGAAACCTGCGGTGGCTTTTCTGAACTCTGACTGCTTCTGTCTTTTCCTCTTTGTTGTTAAATCATTCTTATCTAACTCATACTTCTTTCAGACTCATGACAACAGGGAGCATTTGGCCATGATGGAGAGAATCCTGGGACCGGTGCCCTCTAGGATGATTCGCAAAACAAGGTGAGAGATCGTACAAACGCACCAATGTGATAAACATTTTGTATTGAAATAAACATGTATACAATTGAACACTGCTCATGCTGACGTCCGTACCCTCTCAGGAAGCAGAAGTATTTCTATCGTGGCCGTCTGGACTGGGACGAGAGCTCTTCAGCAGGGAAATACGTCAGAGAAAACTGCAAACCCTTGCGGGTAAGTGGAGTGGATGTGTGGTGGAAAAGGAATAAATACGATAATTAGCAGGGCTGCAGTGACAACAGGGCATTGTACTGAAAAGAACAAAAGTGTCTTTGTTTTGTACTTTCGACAGTCACTCAATATTCCCCCTCATCTCTTTTTTGTTATTCTTTTTTGTTTTCCTTTCTGTCCTTCCATCAGCGGTATTTGTTGTCGGAGGCGGAGGAGCACCACCAGTTGTTTGACCTCATTGAAAGCATGTTGGAGTATGAACCCTCTAAGAGGTTGGTGCTGGCGGACTCCCTCAAGCACCCTTTCTTCGAGAATGGTGGCATTGGCGAGGCAGCAGGCAGTAAGAACTGGGAAGGCAACCGAGACATCAGCCGGTGACCCACGAGCCTCCAAAGACTGAATGACAGAGGAGATCAAGTCTTTTATATATGGAACAGGTGAACTGTTGAATTAATAGGGGCTTCAGATGTTTTCTGTCGTTTGTTATTAAAGCATGGACACTTCACTTCTCGCTCCTCCATCCCGTCCCTCTGATGTCCACCTCTGCAGCCACGAGAGGCATGGGTTTTTTTTTTGCAGCAGAGAGACCAAAACAACCCACAAAAGACTGAAAAAAGTCAAAATGAATCTTTTGTGGTGGTCACAGCCTCAGTAGAGAACAAAAATCTTAAATGAAAGATTGTTTGTACCCAAAGTAGCCCTCTATGCAGCTCTTGTCTTCCTTTTGACTTCTGAACCACCTTCGTCCCCTCCCTCCCTCCGTCCGTCCGTCCGTCTATTAGTTTCATCAGCATGTAAAGAAATTATTTCACCTCTTTAAGGAAACAAGCACTACTACAGTCGGTCATAAAAGCTCAGTTTTGGAGAAGAAACGTCTTCTGATTCTGAAGTCTAAGGAAAGGGTAACAAAGGAGATAGAGCTGTATATGCAGTGCTCACCCACATAATTCTAAACAAACTGACATACAAGATATTGCTTTGTGCTAACATCAGAAAAGTAAAATTGAATATCACATTTCTTTGGAAATTGCAGGTATCTCCAGCAGAGGCAAATGTCTCAAGTTTTTGTTTACTTTTTTGTTAGGTGAGCACTTGCATTGCGTACAATATTTCATGTTTCTGTTTTTTTTCTATACATAAACTGATTATCCCTTATATGGAGACTCTTGCCCTTAATCTCCAGTCATTAGGCCTCTTATTATTAGCCAATGAGATGATATTGGTGATGGACACTCCACGCACAGGCCTCTGTAGCCTGTCTTACTGATAGATATGTCTGTTTGTTATGTTATGCAATGCTTTCTGGGTGTGAGTGAGCGTGAGTGTGTAGAGGTGTGGATGGAGTGGGTGACACATCCATGTTAATGTTTTGCTCAGAGACTTCTTAGTAGATCAGCGTTAGTCATGGGAATATTCTCACATACACAAAAGAACAAACTGCCTTTTTCCATGTGTGATATGGTCAGACTTGAAGTCTCTCCATAGAGGTTAAGCACACAGCTCCTGGTGGTAGCCATTGAGCCACACACAACTCCTGTTGACGTATTTATTTTGAGCTCCAATAGGTCATAGTCCCCACCCCCCCACCTGTAAATGACTTGTTTTTTTTGTATGAAATTAAAGCGTATAAAACTGTATATATGTACGATTGTGTAGAATTAAAGTTAAGTCCTCCATGCCAGAGGTTTATGGTGCTCTCAGTATCAGTTTGGGCCTCTGGTTGCTAAAAGGAGGCGTTCTGTCTTTAAATACCTCCACTGTGTCTGAGTCAATCTCTTATCTCACTGACTAATGCCACTGCTGAATGTCATGTGCCATGTGCAGAAAGATCAAAGGGGTGGCTGAAATGCGAATGTGGACAAAGGGTAAAACTAAGTGCTTCTTGTTTAAAGGGATATACTGTATATAAATAGAACATTAATGTGTATTATGCTCAAAAAATGTATATGTAAATTAATCTTTAAAGGTTGCCATTCCTCGTTAGATAATTTTCTCAGACAACTAGATACTTATTTTGTTTTCAGAGTTGGATTGCAGGACTTAAACCTTAGACCTTCAACCCAGTTTCTTGTGCTGCAAGTGGCTCAAAGAATCTTTCATTTACCAGTTTTTAGTGCAAAGCTTGCAGGGACCCTGGAGCTCATGTTGACCTTTCCAAAATAAAACTACACTTGACCCTAGGTAAGTGCTCTTGGCAGTCACATGTATGCTTACTATTATCCTTCAATCGAGTTAATTTCTGTTTAAAACTAACCGCTCCTTCATTTCCTTCCAGAACCTCAGCTCAGCTGTTACCCTGTCACGCAGGAAGAGAGGGAAACGCGAGATCCGCTGCAACAGGTGTTTCAAGGCTTCGACACACACACTTCCCCATCTGTCGGTAACCTGCTCATCTACTTTTGCTATATTAACCTCACTCACTGTTCGCATTCTTTTTCCCTTCACTTTTGAACTGTATGTTACTGGATCATTCTGCTTTAGCTTTGATCCCACCGTGGCTGTTGGTCAGTGAAGTAGAAATCAAAGTGTAAAAGAAATGTAAGATTATGAATACCAAGTAATATGATGACACTGCTGTTAGACTGAAGATGCCTGAACTTGAAGCCAGTGCTCTGTTCATTTTGTAAATTTGTAGATACATAGTTGAAGATAGTTATGTCAACAATTTGAAACATCATAGCCAAGTGACTTGTTTGTGGACGGACTGAGAGTTATTTCTCTCCAGACCTGGATTCAGTTCTGAGTTCACTGAGTGAATGAAACAATGAATGAAATGAGTCATTCAGCTTTGTGACTCAGGTGCTTAATGTTTCCAGTCAATGAAGCTCCATTCTTGGCTTGGGGGGGGGGGGAAGAAATCCTCTGCGTCACAAAAGCCTTACCTTCCACCTTTCGGCCTGTCCATGCTGTCCATCTGTCTGGCCTCCTCCGACCCTTTATCACCAAATTATCTCGTCAGTTGTTACCGAAACTTAAACTATACAGGTGCTTGCTACTGAAATTGAGAATGCGACTTGCAAACTTACTACAGCTCACCCATTTTTATGTCCAATCCCCCAGTTGTAAACAGGATGACCTGATATGAGCTATTTCAGTGGTCAAATGTCAACAAGCAGGTGTTTTCCTGAGCAGGTTTTTTGGAGTCGCTCTGTTGTTAATGAGATAAACAACTGTTGCGTCTGCAGCTAATCCTGTTTGAGGACCAGGGAGGTCATCAGTCAAATCCCCATAAGAGCAGACAGTCACAGAGTAGAGGAGCGCACAAACTGAGGGACTGGATGTAATTCCACGCATTAACTTTACGCTTTGCAGCTTTGACAAATGATACTAACAGCTGATTGAGTCTACAGGAGATACTGGTGAGGTGAGTCTCGTCGTTTCTTTAACACATGTACGGTATATTTTGTTCATTTGCACTTTGAAAATGAAAACATTAGAAAACAGGAACAGAACTGTGTAGAAGACTTATAAGTTGACTTACGATGCTCGAACTGTAAATTTAAGTGGAAGAGGTGCCTTTTCTTTATTCAAGTTTTTAAATGGAAGTTGCTGGAAGCTGATATTATTCTTGGTTGGCATAATTATTCTTTTGTATTTACAGATAAAAGCCTCCTTCCTGGTGTAAATTAAAAGAGCAACAACACTGACACTTGCCAGATAAACCGACAAACAACACAAGACGAAGTCAGAAAATGGATTCCCTCATGTCGCTGGGTGCTCCCCTGAAGCAGTTCACCAGCTGTGTGTCGGGGAAAAACACCTCCAACAACAGAGGGGCCAAGAGGAGCCAGTCTGTCCGCAGGAGCAGCTTCACACGCAGGAAGAGCGTCAGTAGGAGGAGAAGCCTTCCCTGCAACAACCAGAAAGTCCCCGACTCCTGGCTCAGAGTGTACCAGGCTGAACTGAAGAGAGAAAGGTACGGTGGCTCAATGGATCCATTTTCAAAACATATCCATTCATAAATTAGAATGGATATTATTGGCTATGAAACTAGTGTTTTTAACTGTTATGGTGATATTTTCTTTCCAATTAAACATGCAATAATTAGTTGAGATTTTTTTTTCTGTGAATCAGAATTGTTGCACTACTTTTTCAACAATGTGACAACTCATTTAGGAATTAAAAGTTTTCAGTTACTGTCTTGTTATTGAGCTGAGACTCTTAGCCAGGCAGACTAGGCTTAATGAGGATAAGGCTGTTCCTCACATGAATAAGCTGCTTGCCCATGTGCCATGTGTAATGTTGCCCTGTGCTGTTTGCCAAAGGAAACGACAACAAGCCACACTGGCCAAGAAGAACACTGAGAAGAATGTTAGAACTCACTTCAGGAGCCACCACTGCCTCCCAAGGGTAGGTGAACAGTAAAGTTAAAGTAGAAATTAAGATTTTTATTTAGCAGTATCCAAACTCAACATTCTTCACCCTCTCTTCAACCTGCAGCAGACCACCACAGCCAGAAAACCGGCTTCAGCAAAGGACGATTCCTTTTTCGGAGCCTTCCAGGGCCTCAGTCTGGACGGACTGATGGGAGGCACTAATGGATCGCCTGCTGCTGCTCCTGCTGCAGCTGGAGCTGATCAGTGTAAAGTCATGTGAGACCCAACATTTAAGGACAATCAGATCACAATCTGATGAAATGATCCTTTTACTTAAGAGACTTAACGAGAAAGGGGCTCATGGAAGAAAGATGATTTGAGTTGAAAATAAGACACATTGTCCTTGGGACAGGTAAACTCATTAAATTACTTTTATTGTCCTTAGAAATTGTATTGCTTTAGGAAAGGCCATAGTGCTTATTCTTGATTCTTTTACAATTCACACATTGTGCAGTGTATCAAACTTTGAACAATTTTTATTTGTCTATTTTTATTAAATATTAAGGTGATTAACTGATATTTGGACTCGTTACTATTTTTTTTTCATCCAATGTTCACACACCTGAGCTATTTTCACTTTGTGGAATCATTTAAAATCCATAGCAGCAACTAAGCAGGTAAAATGATTTTATTCAGTTTCCCCAAAACAACAAACAGGAAATTATGTGCAACAAACACCAATCAAGTGTTTGGTGTTTCCTATTGACAGTATTTACTGAATAGATTTAAAACATGCAGAACTAACGGGGGGTTTTCCAGACACTACATTCAAAACTTGCATTGTTGATTCAAAACAGAATGCAAAACTGAACAGGCAGCTGATTCAGAAATATTTTCCTGTTCTGCTCCGATGACATTTCAAAGTACTTTGTGTAAATCTGGTCATTAGAGTATTGGCTTGTAAAGTGATCTGTAATAACCAGATCATCAGAAACAATAATACCTTTTACCTATTCACATAACAGTCTCTTGAATTCAGCTTTACCTATCATTTTACAAATTTTAGGCTCAGCCTTGTAGACCACAGTAAGGTAGGCTTGTGAATACCAAGCTTTATTTAGTTTTTAAAAAATAAACAAAAAGCAAAAATAAGGACAAACCACATCAACTCGTCAATTACAGAAATGGAAGATGCATTATTTCTCTTTCTTACATGAGGCAGGTATGATCCCAGGGTCCAGATCACAAATATGTACATTAGAAAACCAAGTACAAAACTATGAGGAAGTTGTTGTACAAGTATCCTGATGACGGCTACACAGCTAACTGCAGACGACGAGGTGAGGATACACAGAACAGAGTTTTTTTTATAACAGTGGGGTTTTAATCTAGTGAAGTCCAATTTTACAGCAATCATTCCCTCTGTTCCATCTTGACTTTTGGGGGCTTAAGGAAGGATCTATTCTTTTTCTCCTTGCTTTTGCCTTTGGCCTGAAAATTCCTCCAGCTGTCCACACGCCCATCTCTTGTTTCCTGAAAAATGTGTTTAAAAAATGGTGGTAATTTGAGAAAGCCAAAAGCAAGATCATCATGATTTTATTTATAAATAAGAAATCAGTAAGGCGAGCAACACACCTCAAAGTTTTTCTGCCATTCTCTCTCTCGCTTTGCTTTCTCTGCTGCCTCAATTTCTTCCTCTCTTGCCCTTTTCCTTTAAATAAATAGGAAAAAAAAGGATTAGAAATCCATGACATTCTGAATGAATATATGTTGTTTTCTTTTAAAGTTGAAATACAAGATTAACATTTTGATCAGATATCAGTATCACCATTTCAATTGTTGGCAAACATGTAATGGAAATTTAAATTGAGAGGTTGAAGGCAGGTTATTTTATAAGAATCATAGAGCAAAATCAGGTTGTGCATATACTGTGTCATTTACCTTTCATGCATTTCTTTTGCTTCCCTTTCCTTCCTCTTGATTTCAAGTTCTGCAAAAAGCTTCATTGTCTGTTTGTACACTGCTTGCTTGAACTGGAAAGGGACAAGTTGAGTTATGAACCCATATATTGTATTGGACATAAGCATGACAAATATTGGTAATAAATGTCCTAGTAATTAACAGCAAAATACCAGCTGAGTTATAGGAAATCACTATGGAAAGTAGTTACAAAATACTGGACCTGTAAAATAAAAGATTACCCAAATATTTGATATTAACCTGTCTCAAAATTGTCTAAAGTGTGTTTTTATAATTTAAAAACCCCCACACAATGCTAACTTCATGACACATTGAGTAAGACGTCTTTAATCTCAATGTTTTGACAGCTGTATCCAATGGTGACAACAATTATTAATCACTTTCAAATCACTTTCAAATATTTAACTGTTTAATATGTACAGTTGAATATGTTTGTCTCTCTTACAATGTTATCTTGATTTAGGTCAGATTTTATTTTATTTTCAACGCTGCCTCAGTATGTATTTTTATGACTGACTTACCACTTCAGGATCATCCTCCTCCACATCCAATGACTTCCCTTCTTTCTTCAACTGTTTCCTTTTCTCCTTTACCTGTTGAAAGTACAGAATGGCAAAAAATAAAATGTTACCAAATAAATATCAAACGGGAGAAAGCTGAGTAACACAGAAGCAAAATGACTTGAGTGAAAAGGAAGGCAATGTGTTCAACACTCACCATATGCTCAATATATTCCTTTCCTGCATGGATCACATCTAAGGCTCTCTTCTTCTGTTCAGGGTCCAGTAGGAGTTTGTATGCCTTGTCCACAGCTAGAAACACAGTGAAAAATTCAGGTGAAATTAAAGTTGTACTAGGTACCATATACTGGCAGCATGCATCATGGCAGAAGCTGGGTGTACTGTTTCACAGTATTTGTTAACATCTTGCAAAACCACAAACATGATACAAGTAAATCAGTAGATGTAAAGAATTTACCCTCGAAGGCTTTCTGTGCTCTGTCTTGGTCATCCTGATTTTTGTCTGGATGGACCAAAATGGACAACTGGACAGTTAAGAGACCAAAGATTAGGAATTAAGAAACAAAAAACAAATCATAGCACTATCACTACATCTACAGAAGACCACTGAATTTTTTTTTTCTCCCCCCTTTCACTTACCGCCCGAAATCTTTTCTTCAGTTCATCGTCTGTTGCATCTGGGTCAATTTGCAGCACCTGAAAATCACATTGACATTTTAGTGGTAGTTGTTAGATTAGATCTAAATATTTACCTTAACTGATGTGTCAGTATAAGATGAGTAATATGCTGAAATCTATCAGATTAATGGTGGTCAACATTATCACACTCTGATGAAGTCTTCATGCCAGCACATTTGTCAGCCTATTGATTGTAATAAAATTCACCCAAGAGGTCAAAACACAAGGTCATTCTTTTTTGTTTTGACCTGTAGGGTACCTCCCTTGTTCCCTGATTTTGATTCTGGGAAATACAGACTGCATCAACTTTATGTAAGCAAAAACACTCTCATGTCATGAATCAATACTTTGGGTTATCGCTTGTTGGTCACACTCTTTGGGCTCTGGTAACTCACGATTGGCATCTATCTGTATAGATTCTGTGTTTGACATTTGACATACTGTGTTCGTGTTTGACAGTTTTGACATTTATTGACTGACTAAATTATTAAGGTAATTATTATTAATACATGTGCGAAAGTTTTAGGCATTTTAGACAATTCGATTTTTATCCATCAGGCAATACCATCAGGGAGGTGTGTGATCGGTCCCAAAATTCATTGTGCAGCATGAGACAATTACCCTAAACATATAGCCAGAGTCAGAAAGAACTTCCTTCAGCATAAAGAGCTACAGTCCTGCCACAGATGTCTGACCCCAACAGAGCCCTGATCTCATCTACATGGAGTCAGTCTAGGATTACATGAAGAGACAGAACTGTGAGTCAAGGTCCAAAAATGCTTGAAATAACCTACCTGCTAGGTATCTTGAAAAACTGTGTGCAAGTGTACCTTCTGATTTGATTTAGTATTTTTTTGTTTTTGTTTACTGCACTTTGTATTATATTTGCTGATACATAACAGCTATTCATGGCATTGTTTTTGAGGGCAACCTCACATTACTTTTAGTGGCTTAAACTTTTGCACAGTACTGTGACATTAAAAATGAAACTACTTAATCTGTACACTTACCTCAAAGGGATTGAGATTAAAGTAGGATGCGCCAGGTCTGAGCAGTCTCTCTATCTGCTGCTTGGAGGTCAACACGGAGTCTCTCTTCTCAATCTGCTTCACCTGCAGAAAAGACAAACACCGTCACCATCCTCAAAATACAATCAAATGGTCTGAAGCTGCCGTCTCTCCTGATATTTTCAACATTCATTTTCTTCTGATAATGTATGAGTATGGCAAACATCCAGGCACAATGTGGCAATGACACATGAGGGTGGCTCTGCATCTTTTCTGGTCGTCTGACCTAATTTGTTCGACAAATAAGTATTTAATATATGATATGACTGGCCTGAGCGGACACTGCACTGCAGCTGATAAAACTGCTTGATAGGAAGCTAACAGAGCCTGTATTTAGAAGAACTAACATTTATCAAGCTGTGGTTTAGTTAGGTGACTTCTGGTTAAAAAGGGAGTGAAACTTAGCACGTAGACGATCTTTGGTAGTGCCCTGCTAATATTAGAAAGACGAAGGTGCTCAATAAACGTTAGCATCTTATCGTTAGCTGATGCCCATGTCTGCAAGGCCTCGTGGGCGCTAAACACAAACCCCGCTGACTAATAGACCTCAGCCGATCTACGAAGGGCATCCAACACTTTTAATACACACTCTTTCACATAAACCTTATCCTACCTCCGTGTAAAAGTTTTGAAATAATTCATCCGATACAATCTGAGAAGACTCTCCTCCGGCGGCCGCCATCTTCCTCCTGGTTTACATATGACGTACTAATGTCACATGACCATACATTCATACCAAGACCAGAGCCTTCAATAGCTCTGACCAAGATCAATGCAAAAGTGATCTAATATGTTAGGTTTATTAATATGGGGTCCGTATATAAAAATAATTTACGTCGTTCAATAATAATATTTAAACAGGGATTAATAAAAAGGGTAAGGTTAGAATGGCTATAACGTGAAACTGAGTTAGATCGCATAGAGCTGATACAATACAAACTGCAAATTGTACTGAGAACTAAGGGCGTGAAACATCATTTGTAAAAGAGACGTAGTTTTAATTTTTTTTCCAAATAAAAATACCGCTTTCCGCTTTATTTTGAAAAGATAGGAAGTGAACGAATTAACTTACGCTTCGATTCGGTTTGTGTTTAAATGTTGATGGAGAGGAGAAAACCGCAGAATATTGTGCTTTTAACTCGGTTACACTTGCAACCTGTGTCGGTATTTCAGAGCATACGGATTGCAGTTCTTAGGAGGACAGACCACTAGACGTGTTAACGTTTTTTTTTGTCTAACGAGCCACATTTAACGTTTAGACCACGCTGAGGAAACCAACCGAGGGCATACAACTACAACCCTGTGGCGCCAGCAGCAGTGCCTAACGACATCTTACATTGTATTGCAGGCTGCTTAGCAGCTTATAAATTAATTTTAGCCTTCTGAGGTCCCGAAGCAGAGTTGGCCTCTAAAAGCCAGGTCAAAGCGTAACCCGAGGTTAAAAGCGTACAACTCCTGCATCTCCAATCACGACCAGCCGTCTACACCCCGTGTACCTAGGGGCGAGGCAGAGTCGGCGCTAATTCTGTTTACATGCCCGCCCACATTTCCAAGCTGTTGGAAGATGCACAACGAGAAAGCTGTTTATCATTTACTATACTGAACTTCATTATAAGCTCCAAAAGTAACGCACAAAATTCAGACTGACTTCACAACAGAACCTGAACAAGTAAACGTGTTGGATGTTAAAATGCTGCAAATGAAATATCACTAAACATGCATACACGAACACAAATATTTACTTGGGAAGTAAAATGTATTGAATAATCAAGAGAAACAGATGATTTCTCTTTACAGTAGTAATTCTTTTAGATGGACAAGGAAGCAGCAGTCTGCTGGATGGAGCTCTGGATCAGGACGTCTATCGGCTGTATCCTCCTACGCTTCTGCAGCAAGTGAAAAAACATTTAACATTAGAATATAAGCTTTTCTCCAGACTGATGTATTGCATAATTACTGCTGTAAAGGCACAATCTTTACACACCATGGCATGAATATCAGTTTTGGTTGTTACAACTTTTGTTCCCATCTTCATGTAATAAACAGACTAAAGATGGAAACATTGATCAATAAAAATATTATTGTAACATTTACATTTCTCAAACCAAGAGGTTGACTGAGGCGATACAATTACTACAAGCCAAAGTGTTCCCTGATACCAGAGTAGCTGCACTAATCCACAATTATTCCTCACCTCTGCCGCCTGCTGAGCTGTAAACAGGGAAGCCGGCTCATGTTCGTGTGGGTGCTGGACCTCAAGTGAAAGTAGATCATTCTGAGGGAAGTGAATCCCTGTGGTTGGTCTTGCTTGCACCTTGTGGGGAATCATCTCCTGACTGAGCTAGAGAAGGGCCACATGGACAAGGACATGATGAATCTTAGTCAATCAGTTTCTAACCATCAGCATGACCATTAAACCCACTGTAGACTGTATATAAACTATAACTGTGATGCAGTATTTCTAACTGAAAAAAATGTATATGTCACTTTTGCGACTTGATGCTTGAACTTACTCTGGGAAGTAAACAGGTCATAAAGAGACAACTAAGACATCAAACATTATGTTTTAAAACATTACAAAACTGAAAAATAGAGACATGTTGATACTTTCTGAGCATTATTTCAGATAATGAACAATCTTACCAATCAGTCCCTTCCATTTGTGTGAACTCATTCACATGGATGGAGGCAGCTCCTTTACTGCCTGGTGACAAGAGGCAACATATAAAGACACAGTTCTGATATGAGAAGCTGTTTAAAGACACTCCAGCAATTGATGGCACTTCAATGCAAACCAAAACGTGTGTGAAATGATACAATTAGCTACTGTGGTCCCTATATCCCAGTCTTACCTGTGCAATATTAATAATGTGGCCCTCCTACTGCCATCTTGTGGTGTTAAAGGGTAAAGACATCACATTTGAGACATCCATTGTTCCAAAATCAGCCAATTTTACCAATATTTAACTCAGTACCCCCACTGCCACAAGAATACATTTTAAAAGCAGTGCCCCTAGTTAATTTCTACCCATTGATTAACACCATTACAGCTTTGAAAATGGCCAATAAATGCAGCATCGGATATAGGAACAAAGGAGCAGTGCTGGTGTTGAACTGCTACCTCTAGCGGCTTAGGAAAGGAAATGTCCACCCCCCCACCACCCCCCATTCACAGAATGTGTGTGCAGACAGCTGAGGTGATTTTGGTGCAGTAAGCCAAGACGGACAACAGGTGCTTGCAGGGTTTTGAGGTTTATATCGCTTACCAAATCCTTGACTGCTTGCCCTCTGGCTTATAAATCCAGTCTATATCAGCAGCCATTTGGCTTTTAAAATTGTGCATAACTTTTCATTTGGCTTAAAGGCGGAAATTATCCACTATGTGAGGGAAATGTGCACTCTTCATGAGTTTGCTAAATCCCAGAAACATGCTGGTAATGCAATTAATTTTAATATTTTCAATGATTCTTCAGTCAACTATAGTGACTTGTATTCTTCATATCCTGGAAAAAAAATATCACTCCTACTAAATTTAAAAGCTTGATTCGTAGCACAGTATATTAGTAAGGAAACAATAAAAAGAGCAAAGTATAATTATGGCTAGTGTTTCTCCAGTGATTACAATTAGCTACAGGAGAGGAGACAGTACTCTGTGCAAGGCTAGCTCACCCTTGAGTACCGTTCAGGTGAGTTCCTCATTCTACTGGTGCCGCTCTCAATGCTTCTCCACCTAGGCAGGTTGGAATAAGAGGACAGACACATGAAACAAAATACAATGATACCATGGTACCAAAAGGCAGATGCTAAAAACACTTTTCTATGGCAAACAGATTCTGACAGGTGATCACTTGCTATGGCACAAGGAACGTTTTTAGAATTTTAACCCTTTGGATGGTCAGATCCTTGGTGTCTTCAAAAGGAGAGAAAAGATGAGATGTTGTGCTGATTTTGGAAATAAAAAAAAGAAAAGAAAAAAAAAGAAAAAAAAAAGAATTGGAGACAACTCAGCATACAAATACAAATCCATTCAAATCCGTTGGTCTAACTGTTGTAGGGGTATCAGTATCAGGACCATACCAGTGCGAGTAACATCTCACCAATATCCAAGATTGTCCTCAATCTTTCAAATTTATGTGAACAGGTGTTCACAGTATATGCTTCAGTAGATGTCAAAGTTACCTAAATAAACACCACTTATGTTAAAAATGTGTGCAGTTACAGCTAAAAAGTACAGTGAGCTTACATGTGAAAAATAAGCATGTTTATATCCTTTACATTACTTTGGCTGCCTTACTATATATCCTATAGAAATTAGCATCATCAAATCTCTTCACATTTCTATACTTTAATCTGCTTGGCCATATCACATTGACACTTTTTTATACTAACAATTTAGTTTGATAAGCAGGGATAAATTACCTATGTAAATCACTGGACATTTTCCTTGTCTTCATTAAGGGCAGAGAGCAACATTTAGTGAACTAACATTTACTAAAGCATACACTGTTTACCTGTCCACACTGTTTGAAAGAAAGGCACAATCTTGGTCAATGGCAAACAGTCGAATTTACTGTTCGGTCCTTTAATGGTTGTTGGTATTGCTGTAATATTCACTGTATAAATTCTGAGTGCAGGAAATGACTATAGTCTGATGTGACATGTACTGAAAAATAAAGGGTTAAAATCCTGTTTAATCATTGCATCCTCCAAACACCTTTCAAGTTCTCCTGTCCCATTGTCTGATTGCACAATTTCAGCCTTTTGAGATTATCCTTTGAGGCAAAAAAAATTTGACTTGGAAAAGAAGATCTTCATCCAAATGTGAGAATTGAGGTAGAAATCAAATCAAATACTGAATGACAACACTGAATTTGAGTATCTGACAATTGACTGATGCTCAGCTGAGTTTTATTGAAACGGAACAAACGTAAAAGTTATAAATACAAAGAACATCAGAGAACAAACTGCTATGGCTCTTAAGGTAAGCCAAACCAAATTCTATTGGGCAAGTTCAAAGAAAACATAGGAAGTTATGGTATCAGTTTTAAAAAAACACAATTTATCTACCTCTAGAAATGCTAGGCATACACTTTGAACATTACAAAACTTTGATTTCTTTCTTCCTGTGGATTCTTTTCTCCACCATTGCAAAAAATGAAGTTTGAAGCTCTAACCATATGCATTTATTTACAAGCAAGTCCCTATGCAACTATGAGAAACCACAAATAAAGGGAGTACAAGAACGAGAAGGGAGGAAAGGGGCATGGACAAAAACTTCCTGCAAGGCAATATCATTATTTAATGTCCTCTCAGACTTTTGAGAATGAATGTCCACTTTTTTTTGTAAATGTTCATTGTTGGCTTTAAAAGAATCAGGAACAAAAAGTAACAATAAAAGTGTTTTGTGTATTTTTTTTTTTTTTAAAGACAAATGTCCCAATGTAACCGTAGGAGTAAGAATTGATTCACCACAACGGTTACGTTCATTTCTTCAGCCAAAAGGCTTTCCAGCCAATCATCTCGAGCCAATTCTGGGGTCTGTCCATTTTTTTCTGAGATATATACAGACTTTTTTTCATGAGGGATGAACAATAAAAAGTCAATCAAAAATTGTGGCCAATCTCCTGTTTTTTTCTTTTTTATTGTTTTTCTCTTTTTTTGTTGTCACTTTGCCAAATACCTTTTGGTGCATCTACTTCCACTGCTGCCCATAAGAATCCTGTGAAAACTCCATGGTGTCATTACTGTAACCATAGTTACCGGAATAGTCGGCCCCTTGCTGCAGGGGCTGCTGGGCGATGGGTTGGGACCCCCAGTTCTGTTGGTTGTTGGTCTGGCGGCGCTTGGAGTCAGGCTGGTTAAACACGTCTGCCTTCCTCTTTCCGCCGACATTTCCTCCACGATTGCCCCTGGCCCCACGAGGACCACGGCCCCTCTGCGGCTGGAAAGGGGCTCCCCGCCCTCCTCGGCCACCCCTCGGACCACCAAGGGGTGGCCCTCTTTGGGCGTAGCCGCCCCGGCCTCGTGCCGGTGGTGCTCCGCGAGCCCTAGGTGGAGGAGGCCCTCCCCTACTGGGACGAGTACCACGGCCCCTCATGCTGTACACATCTTCGTAGCCGTAGTAAGGGTCTTCATAGCCACCACGGTAGTCATGATAGTCGTAGCCATAGTAGTCATCATAGTAGTCTTCATATCCATAGTAATCTGGTGGGTAGGCATAGCCCCCTCGGCCACCACGACCCCTACCTCGGCCTGGTGGTGGCATGCGTGGTGGTGGGTAGTAGTAGTAGTCATCATACCTGCAGAGGGGAGGATAGGATTTAATGATTCCTTATTTGAGAATGACTCAGGCAGTTGACTAGTCACGTGTCTTTATCAGTCTGACTCACCCTGCATTCCTGGTGGTCTGCCGAGCTGCTTGGCGCTCTTTTCTCTTCTTGTCTGGGGGCTTTGCCAGAACGATCTCAATTTCCTCTCCCCCCAGTTCCTTCCCATTCATCTCATCCATCGCCTTAACAAAACATAACAATCCATTATAATGATGCACATAAACAGACAGACTAATACTTAATACTAAAAATACTACTATTAAAATACTAAAAAACCCACCTTTACAGCAGCATCCCTTTCTTCAAAATGGACAAAAGCATAGTCTTTAAGTTTCTTTACTCGCTCCAGCTTTCCAAACTGAGAGAAGGTCTTTTCAAGAAGCTCTTCAGTCACCGCTGTGGCCAGCTTCCTGACAAAGAGGACCTTCACCTATGTAGAAAAAAAAAAAAAAAACGGGTTACAATATAGAGAGTGTGGTTGTGATCTTCTGAGGTGCAAAACAATAAGATGCAAGACTTGCTAACCTTGGCCATGACCTCTGGGTCTGGCTCAGCAACAGGGTCAGCCCACTCCACAGTGACTGGGTTCCCCCAGACCTTGACCTTCCCGCTCATTAGGCGGCGGCGAGCCTGTGCTGCGGACTTGTGGTCCTCGTACTCCAAGAAACAGAAGCCACGGTTCTTCTTCTTGTCATCTGGTTGGTGGTACAATATCACCTCTTGAAGACCCTCTGTAAGATAAAACAATGACATCTCTAGTTCCATGTAAAAGCAAAAACTAAAGCCCCAGTTCCACCAGTTTTCATGCAAATTATGCTTCATGGTAGACGATTTATTTTTGATCATTTTGAAACCAAGCTCCTCCTGTGCATTTGAAACTGACCTGTAACTTTTCCAAAGTCTTCCAATATACTTTCCCTTGTCTTGTTCTTTGGAATTGATCCAACAAACAGACGATTGTTTGCAACAGATATACACACTCCCAAGTACTTTCCAGGGCGAATTTCATGGTTATCACACTGAAAATAAAATGGAAAGGTCAACAACTGTGTAAAATACATTGTAAATTAACAGTAACTTATAGAAAGGAACTATCTTCAAAAATGTTGCAAGTAATCCTGTAAAATGTCCAGTTGTATTGTAGATTGATACTGTTTTTCCAATACCCTGCCATACCACTTACAAGCTTCACAGCCTTTTGTGCATCGTCCTTATTGCAGTATGTGATGAAGGCATAGCCTCTGTTCTGCCCAGATAGAGGGTCCATCATTAACCTGAGGTCCCAGATTGGACCAGCAGACTCAAACAGTGGGACCAGCTCATCTTCATATAAATCTCTGGGGATTTTTCCAACAAACACCTGATGAAGAAGAGAGAATCAGGGAGACAAATGTAAGAATTGGTAAAGCACAATTCACAGCATGATATTTAGGATTCTTTATGAATGCAGCAAAGACATTATACCTTTCACCCAATTTAAAATATCAGAGCCTTGAAAACACTGACAGACAGGTTTCAGTATATATCTAGTTATCTATCACTTTATCTACCTCAGTTCCAATCCCTGGTTGTGTTCCTTTGAAAACATCCTCAGGTGGGGGACCTCCATATTTTCTCTGCCCTGTTGTGACATCCAGGGTATATCCTGTCCGCTCCAACAAAGCCTGGAAACACAAAAAAACATAACATGAACTAAGCTCCACTATTACAAAGACATGTTTCTGACATTCATTCTAATCTTCTTTACAACAAAGCTACATGACTTTGTTTACCTTTATTTTCGCCTCATCTGGCCCCTTGGTGGATTCTTGTACCTTACTTCCTTGTTTTTCTCTCTGTCTGTAGGTCTTCATAACTCCACAAAGGAAAGCGCTTTTATTCTACGTAAAAAACAAACAAACAAACAAATGATGTATTACATGCAACAATGAACAATCAACATACAACTTTTACTGTAAGACAAAAAGAATGTAATCCATCCATGTGGTTACCTGTACGTGGGACAGATCGCTCTCTCTGAATTGCTGCAGCACAGTAAGTGCTCCCTCCTCATTGAACTCCCTCAATGCATCAATCGCCCTTTCGTCCAGGTCAACATACGCCACCAAACCTAAAGTTACAAGGTATGATCACGTTCAGCCCCAGCCAGAGTAGCCACTTTTAACTGCTGGAGTCAGAATAACTGTCACCCACCTGTCTGGAAGATGTTGTCTAGACTTTCAGCCACTTTCTGGGGCAGCCCAGCATCAATGAGTGTCTGGTAGTTCTCTGTGTGTGTTGTTGACACATCCATTGGCTCTTCTTCCTCCTTTGCTGGGGCAGAACTACCGTTCACCTCAGCGGCAGCCATTCTCCTGTAATATAGCAACCAAGAAAAACAACTTATTCAGTAAAGGTTCATCTTTAGACAATTTTTCTTGATCAGGTACAAATATTACAATTTCTTAATCCCAACCTGAATTCATGTTTTAATAAAGCCAATCTTCATAAACCTGTTATTGACCTGACTAATATGTTTTCTATTGAATGGACATTGTAACCTGACTTGACAGTAACTTGCCTGACTACTTGATGGTCTATGCGACTTTAAAACCATTATTGTCGTTTCAAATAATAATACAAGGAAATGATGAAGACGATAAGACCGATATAGTAGAATTGCGCTTGTTACAAAAGCTGCTTGGTAACTCAAGTTTACGTGAAAACATTCAGGTATTGAACGGTAACACAACCCGGTCACTTAAAGAAACCACAAGACAGCCGCCGTCCCGCCCCCTTCACATGCAGCTTGCTAGCTGGCGAGGTGGATACGTTTCATTTTTGCATTTACATGCACTAGTTATTTCTGGGCGATTTCCAGTCAGTTAGATGTTTTTAACAATATTCTGGGCGAAACAATCTCCTAAAATCGCTCCTGTTGTTGAGCTCGGTGATATCGGTTAGCTTGCTAACTAGCTAACGAGCTTATACGAAGGCCTCGCCATGCAGAGAGACACCTTTCACAAATCAAACACACACGCTCCGTACAAGCTGCAAACAGATAGTTAGCGCAACTTACCAGTCTAATTCGGTAAACTAACTGTGGTGTGTGTTAAAATGTGAAACGATTAACTTGTCGGACGTACAAAAATGTCTAATATGAAGAATACGTTTCAGTCTAACCCACAAGACAGATTTCCAGACAGCTACGGTCTCGTCGTCGGCTCGCCCGAACAACGCCACCGCTCAGCAATCATCGCGAGATGTGGATAAAAAAACGCGCAATAGGGCGGGTGCGCTTGTTTTCAAACGCCATAACAAGCCTCCTCGTATGGCCCAACAAATGCGTAAAAAAGGTTTCAGATACACCCCTAGTTTCCATAAGACACAAAAGAAGCTTTAATTTAATACCAGCAAAGCTAGAGGAGACTGTTAAATCCCAGCTATGTGGTTTACTATTCAATGTGAGCGGACCGCGGACAGACAGCGGGCAGCGCGGTGAATCAAAACGAGCGCTTCACCATCAACTATCCAACCGCGGAGGTTGAACCTTGACTGGCACAACTTAAACCCAATGAAATCCACCTTTCTACACATACTACACACAGGATCAGCCTAATTTCCCTAACATACAGAGTTATTAAAAGCACAATTGACAACTGACTCTTTGACAGAAAACAAGAGGGGTATAAATTGAGTCACACATGTTCAAAAGCTTTCATGGAATGTGAAAAATTAAGTACTTTATTGTTTTTTTAGTATTCATGATGCCAGTGTGATGTCTGATACAGGACCTGCCTTGACCAGCAGTAAATCAATCAATATCTGATAAGTAATAAGATGGATGGACTCTCAGGAGGAGGAATGATGACAGTCTTCCCTGCTTCAGTCATCATGTTTAAGCTTTCTGATTTTGCCCTTGTGGCGGTCAATCTCCTTCTGTAGGCGCTCAATCTCCTTCTTGTGGTGCTCAATCTCCTCTGCATGATGCTTCCTCAGCGCCTCCATCTGCTCCTTCTCCTTTTGCCTGGACACAAAGTGAGGAGAAACTGGGGTAAAACCTTTTGGCCAACCAGTGATTCAAGCATGAGCCTTCAATGGTATTACTACTAACACAATGACAACAATCTCACCTGAAGTACCACTCCTCCTCTGCTACTTGTTTCTTTCCAAAAGCACCGCCTGCCTCCCTCACAGAGCCTCCTCCACCACCACCTTTGCCTGCTCCCTTGCCCAATTCACCAAGCTGGAATAAGCAGAAGAAATACATTATATTTCATTTGTTGTACATATTTCAAAATACCCTATCGCATTCTTCTAAGTCAATAAAGTAAAAGATGTCGACTTACCATTGTGCAAGTTGTAATCAAGTAACAAGTTAATATGTTTCTTCTTTAATCTCAATTTGTAAATCTGAAATAGAATCAATATCGCACTTGCTGTTTAACTGCTAGTAATCCACCAGTTTGTACAGACATGTCTTTGTTAGTTGCTTTTGTAAACCATTTGTCTGAATACATGGTATTGTTTCTATCTGCTCAGACAGCTGTTGATTGTCTTGAACCTCTTTGTTTGTTAAATACCATGTCTTTTAATATGAGCCTAAACTTATCAATTGATATGAAAAACTATTATGTAATCTTGAATCGATCTCTTCTCCAAGACAAAAGAATAGGTGTTACTGAACATATTGTCCAATACATTATATGAGTTATCGTCTATGCATACTTCTGTCTGCATTATTCAATAAAGTATTCAGGGGGAAAAGTACATTTATTTGATTATCTGCGTCATTACATAACCCCAGGAGAGCACCTATCCATTCATTTAGCAGCTTGTTCTGGTTCAGAATGGATGACTGCTGCACATTTAACATTACAGTGGAGACATAAGCAATATACTGCAACCTCAAGATGCATGTATCTTTATTTAATAGCCACCATCAATAAAGCCGAACAGTGGCCCCTGTAGCTAGTTAGCCTTGCCTAGCCTAGCCTTTCGTCCGATAACAAGTATCAAGCTGCTGATTTTGGCGAGCTAATGCTAGCAGTCAAAACGTCTTGTCACCAGCCCACCACAGTTTACCTGATCAGATGCCATTCTAATCTGAGAGGCGACACATCTCCGTAGGTTTAATCTCAGGAGAAACCTCGACATTGTCACTCGTAAATTACTATATGCAACAGCACAGGTAAACTTTAGTTTAGTTCCTCTGGTCTGAGCTCAAAATGCGGAAATTTAAACGTCTCACATGGGCGTGGAGAAAAGTACCTCCAGTACACGTAGGCTTGTTGCTGCCACCACGTGGTGAGGGGGGGTAGAGTTGCACTGCTTGTGCGCAGTGGGCTCTTCTCTCAGGGGTTTTAACGCTGAAAGATGAGCACTTGTGATTTGCAGCTGTGCTCATGAAGCAGCATTTGTCAACACGTGAACGTGCTGTATGAATCTCGTGCGCAAGTTGATCTTCAGTAGTGTAAATTAGCCACGTTTCCTTGACAGAAATATGTCAGTTCATACCAATTATAGTGGAAATAGAATGTGTCGTTTGCCTGATGAGATATTTCATATTTTTTTTATGTGTTTAGCTGACGTGCTGTGCACTGACTAAACGACCCTGTCGGTTATACAAGAAATAAATTATAATTAATTCGTTTAAATTGTGCTAATTGTGCATTGTCTCAATTTCCTAAATAATTAGCACAAAACAACATAGTTAATTCCAGGAAACTTCTAGGAAATTGTCAGGAAATCACAGACCCATAAAATAAAGCATTACTCAATTTTCATGCTATAGTCAGTCATTAAACTTTTCTTGTTGCTCCTGTATGTTACCAAACAGAGAATGAGTACTCTATACAATGTTGTGGAGACAGTTTGTGAATTCGATGGTTCTATATTCCAACAGAACCAAGTTGCGTGGAAGCAAAGTTGCATTCAGTTTACACTCCATAAAGCTCGGCAATTGTTTGGGAATGGAATTTCATGAATTCATCCACATGTTCAACCAATGGTTCCTGTCTAAGATCACTGGAGGCCTGAAGCCTGCAGCATGCACAGATACACAAGGAATTCACTCTGGCCAGGTCTCAAGTCTAAGTCAGATAAGTGGTGCACCATGCAAACATTGGGAAAACATGCAAACTCCCATAATCCTTCACAGACTTGTGAACCTGTATGATGCAGTGATACATGAGTTTTGCAGGAATACAAAATACAGACAGATTCCTGTCCTTCCTCCTCCTTTGCATTCAGTCATTTTTATCTATTGATTGCTCCTACAAATCTGCATGGGCCTGTCTAATTAATTTTATGCTCATGCTGTCTACAGACTGTATGCTAATCTGACATCAATATGTTATGGACCTATTACTCAAAAGGATGAGACCCAGTGCTCACCTCTCAAGTGCTGGATGAGACACATTCAGCAGCACAAAGGGAAGCTTTGCACTGTAAAGAGAGGTGGTGGGTGTCTAGAACAGATGAGTCATAATGGAGTCCCACTGATGAAGAGCCCTCCCTGCTAGACAATGCTCATCCCTGCACAGTGTCGTATGAGATCATCATCGCTGACATTCCCCTTTTCATCCAGCAGAGTTGATGGTCAATGAGTATAGGTCAGGTGCTGCTGTGATGATGTGCTGCATCCTGTCAAGCTGTTTAAATTCAGCAATGACCATGATAGGCCGGAAGTTCCTATGAAAAGAAAAGAATGCAGACTTGTTGGCTCATTGTATTCTGTAACGCAACATCCTTGGTCTGTATATATGTAGAGGGGAAACACAGAGATGGAAAATATGAAGACACAACACAACTTTAGAGCTTGTGCAACACAGTAGGAACTGGGTCAATGAGGAAATGCTTGTGCAGTTTGTCTCAGAAGAAAAGGAGGTTATTTACTTTTCAAGTTTAGATTTGAACACAGAGGGATACATTTTGGACATCAATTAATAGACTCACTGAGCACTTCATCAGGAACACCATACTAATACTAGTTAGGGCTTCCCTTTGCTCTTAAAACATGGTGACATTGTGCATTATCATGCTGGAAGCCCCATTAGAAGATGGTAAATTGTGGTAATAAAGGGATGTGCATGGTCAGCAACAACACTCAGACAGACTGTTGCATTCAAACCATGATTGATTGGTATTAAGGGGCCCAAAGTGTGCCAAGAAAACATTCACCATACCATTACCCCGCCACCAGCCTGGACTGTTCACACAAGACAGGTTGGGTGCATGGATTCATGCTGTTGACATGAAACTCAGACCCTACCATCTGCGTGCTTCAGCAGAAATCCAGATTCATCAGAGCATTCTACATTTTTCCAGTCTTCAACTGCCCAGATTTGGTGAACCTGCACCCACTACAGCTTCAGATTTCTGTTCTTGGAGTGGAACCCGAGTTGTTCCTAACAAAGTGCTCGGTGAGTGTAATTTTCCTAATTAGTAAGAGGAAACTGTACAACCGAAGTAGTAACACTCTTGCAACAAATGGTGGCAGTATGGTCTCATACACATGGAGAGCATCTGCTATGTGTTGCAATGAATATGGAATAAGAATATGCTACCATTCATATAACACCCATACAAAACAATTCCTTCTTCCCTTGTAATTGACGACAGCAAGTGCTGCTCTCACTTCATTTTAAATGGTGATGGAAATTGAGTTTCATATAGAACAATGAATATTGCAGTGCAGTAATCATTATTGAACAGAAGGCTCCATAATTCACAGAGCTAGCTGAATCTGCTGCCTCCATCACATAACTCAACTATGACAAATGTGAGAAAAAATACCTCTTAAATCTTTCAAAAAAGTTACTGTGAAAGAATCATGAGGGGAATATCCTGATTTCTGAAAGCTGTAGATAGAATCACCCTGTATATAACTCCCACTTCCTTGTGAATGTCTGTTAATGTAAAATGACCACAGCAGATATGATAAATCACGGCTGACTCTAACCGGAAGTCATTTTGTTGTATTTGGGAGAAAAAAATTCACTGAGCCAGACAAGACTTTGAAGGGTGTTTTTGTGTGTCGTAATGTGCGTTTGTGCATGGTGGGTTTTTTTATGGTCATGAGTGGACTTCCGGTATACAGGATAGAGAGCAGCCAGTTACCTGGATCCTTTCAGAGCTGCTCACCTCGCCGGCTCAAGTGTTGCCATAGGAAATAGTATCCTGGCAACAGCACTAACCTGAGCAAAGACAAAGTAAGGTCATGCAGACAACAAGATGTGGCACAGTGTTCCTGTATGAACAATCCGTTTTCATAACCTCTGCTTGCAAGGACGTTCATTACAATTTTGTGACAATGTCCCTTCAGCATTTTTGCACTATTACTCCCTATGACATTTAATATGAACTCGTATTACATTTGCATGGCTCTGTTTAACAGCCTTTTTGTTGCAGTCCTTCCTAAATCTACGTTTGGATGTCATGCATAATAATCTGCCTCCTTCTAATAATTGCATGAAATAGCGCTCAAATCTGAAATTCATGCATACCTCTGGGAAAAAGCATGTTGATATACCTCCGGGTATATAATTGAACCTTTTGCTCAGGATTTCAACAAACATTTTTTTAGGTAATAGCATTGTTTTGGCATGGAGTCACTTTAGCACAAGGTACTGTAATTACATGCATTCCTTTCCTGGAAACCTCTATCTTGTGGAGCACATTCATGACACATGCAGCAAATGGAAATTCAATTGCATTAGATTTGCAATGCAGGAAACTATATGCTGTATAAACCCTGACTGGTTTTGAGACATCTTGGTTTCCCTTATGTGTATTCAGCTTGTATAATTCTCAGAGCCTAATGGTGCTGAAACTCCTTGTTGCTAATAGTCCTCATGAGCTGCCGGGATGTTGCAACTGTTGCCATGGTGACCATCAGGATTGATAAAGGGGTTCAGATTCATTGTGTTCAGTACATACGGACAAGGAACAGTGATAGACATTATTCACAGGCAGCTTGGCACTAATTAAAAGGGGAATTGACTCATTTAGCAAACTGATCACAATGTGAAAAACAATCATAAGTTCCTTCAAAACAACCTGGCATCCCACACTTATATTTCTCTCTCACAGTGCTGTTGCAGTTTTTACTAAAAGCTGCATTATAATGTAAAAGGTTTTGACTCTGTTACATTGATAGTTGGCCGCTGTGCACAATCACAGAGTTGTCCAGAATAGGCGAGACACACATGTATATGAAGGTGATTTAACAGCCAAGCAAACTCTCTGTTGGACTGCACTTTGACACAGTGAGTCGCAATGCATGAAAGTGTGGACAAAATTGAATAGCATTCTCTCCAATGGTTGTTGATGGAGAGACCAAATTGGTGAACTGACAGACCCACAGTGCCATTTCTAGAACCATGCAGCTACCACAGCCGAAAGTTATATCTTCTCTTCAAAAATCAATGTCCATTTTTCATCTGTAATTTCATTCAACCAGCAACTGCTCATGCACCCTTTCAATTGACTCTCTCGCTTGTGACCACATGGAGCTTCTTTCCAGGTTCCAACAGATTTTACTGTAAAAATTGTCCTTTCCACTTATATATTAAAAGCCTTATGCATTCCATCCCTACTAGAGCCGGTCATTAGTCTCTGCTAGTCCAGTCAACCCCTGGGGTGAGCATACTGTCTGAAAGTAAGACAAGTGGTAATAACTTCAGCGAAACCACTCTCAAGAGACTGCTGGCATTTAGCTATGACGCACAAGCACAGCTGTAATCCACCACATCTGCGTTCTATCATTCAGAGGTAAAAGAGCCACATGTGGGGGGGGGGGGGCGATCCTTTATCAACCCCAATCAGGAGGGAATGTGCAGGAAAAAAGATGTGTGTCTGAAAAAGAGAGAGAGACACAAATAGTGTTTGGATAGATATGAGTGCTTGTTTCAGGTCAGTTAGACCATACAGTATTAACTTCTACTTCCTTCTCGTTATTGCTCTGTCCTGCATTGCTGCTCCCTGTGCGGACTACCTGAGTGACTGAGACTGCGATTGCTTAAAATATGAGTTGAGATTCAACAGAAATTCTGCTGTCAGAAAAAGATAAGCCAGCGGTTTAAGCGTCTCAGAGTCTTGCTTTCAGATCTGTTACGCTCTGGAAGACAAGAGTATCATTTGAGCTGAAGGACATGCTGCATTGTAAAATCCAATGCATCTGTGACACAAACTTTTGTTGTCAAGTTCACACAAATATTCAGGACTGTTAAAATGACATAAAAACTTTTTTATGTTAAGTCAGCAATTTTTGATTTCTGAGTTAATTTTACTTAAATTTATAAAGTCAATATAGCCTAATTAGTTCAGCAAATTTATTAAAAATAAAAAACTGAAATATTGCACGTACATAAGTATTCACACCCTTTACTCAGTACTTTGTTGAGGCACCCTTGGCAGCGATTACAGTCTCAAGTCTTCTTGGGTATGAAGCTATAAGCTTGGCACACCTGTATTTGGGGTATTTCTCCCATTCTTCTCTGTAGATCCTCTCAAGCTCTGTCAGGTTAGATGGGGAGCGTGGCTGTGCAGCTATTTTCAGGTCTTTCCAGAGATGTTCAATCAGGTTCAAGTCTGGGCTCTGGCCGGGCCACTCAAGGACATTTGCAGACTTGTCCTGAAGCCTCTCCTTCATTGTCTTGGCTGTGTGCGTAGGGTCGTTGTCCTGTTGGAAGGTAAACCTTCGCCCCAGTCTGAGGTCCTGAGCGCTCTGGAGCAGGTTTTCATCAACTTTGCTCCATTCATCTTTCCCTCGATCCTGACTAGTCTCCCAGTTTGTGCTGCTGAAAAACATCCCCACAGCATGATGCTGCCACCACCATTCTTCACCGTAGGGATGGCATTAGCCAGGTGATGATAGCTGCCTGGTTTCCTCCAGACGTGACGCTTGGCATTCAGGCCAAAGAGTTCAATCTTGGTTTCATCAGACCAGAGAATCTTTTTTCTCATGGTCTGAGAGTCCTTTAGGTGCCTTCTGGCAAACTCCAAGCGGGCTGTCATGTGCCTTTTACTGAGTAGAGGCTTCCATCTGGCCACTCTACCATAAAGGGTTGATTGGTGGAGTGCTGCAGAGATGGTTGTTCTTCTGGAAGGTTCTCCCATCTCCACAGAGGAACACTGGATTTCTGTCAGAGTGACCATTGGGTTCTTGGTCACCTCCCTGACCAAGGCCCTTCTCCCCCGATTGCTCAGTTTGGCTGGGCGGCCAGCTCTAGGAAGAGTCCTGGTGGTTCCAAACTTCTTCCATTTATGAATGATGGAGACCACTGTGCTCTTCGGGACCTTCAATGCTGCAGAAATTTTTTTGTACCCTTCCCCAGATCTGTGCCTCGATACAATCCTGTCTCGGAGGTCTACAGACAATTCCTTTGACTTCATGGTTTGGTTTCTGCTCTGACATGCACTGTCAACAGTGGGACCTTATATAGACAGGTGTGTGCCTTTCGAAATCATGTCCAATCAATTGAATTTACTACAGGTACACTTCAATCAAGTTGTAGAAACATCTCAAGGATGATCAGTGGAAACAGGATGCACCTGAGCTCACTTTTGAGTGTCATAGCAAAGGGAGTGAATACTTATGTACGTGCGATATTTCAGTTTTTTATTTTTAATAAATTTGCAAGAATTTCTAAAAAACCTTTTTCGCTTTGTCATTATGGGGTATTGTGTGTAGATTGATGAGAAAAAAAGGAATGTAATCCATTTTGGAATAAGGCTGTAACATAATAAAATGTGGGGAAAGTGAAGGGGTGTGAATACTTTCCGGATGTACTGTATATATATTTTACATGGAATCTCAAACATGAAAAAAAAAAAGTTGAATTAGTTGAATCACATCCCACACTCTTGTGCAGGATTAAAGAAAAGATTTTATTGTGTTTCATTTCCTCAAGATTATTACAACTACTATTTGCAAGACATTAAGACAATTCAGCGTTTCTGCTGCCTCACATTTGATTATTATAATAATTCAATGTACTGCTGAAAATCATTAAGAAGTGGTTGTAGAAAGAAATTACATCTATTTCATATCTTTCACTTCTCTTTGGGAGTTTAAGGACCATGTTCTCTTCGCCCATCTTGGGGATTAGCATCTGTTGTTTCTATAGCAACAGCCTTCAATTAAGAGATGGCCAGGACCTTGCTGTTACTGCCAGCAAGGTGTTAATTGATACTGGATTTCATGTTGGGAGGACTCGGGGGTTGAAATGAGTGCATGTGTGTGTGTGTGTGTGTGTGTGCGTGTGTGTGTGTGTGTGTGTGTGTGTGTATGTGTTGGAGATTGGATTAGGGTAGGAGGGGGAGTCATTGACAGCCTTAGGATGTTATTAGCATTGGGACTGTTTTTCACACACAGACACTGCATCTGCACATACTAATTATTGTAATTTTGATTGGACTGATTTGTTCAGAGCTGATGAAGAGAGAGAGGCTGTATCCTTATCGTTATTAGCAATCTGCAATAGTCTAGGCTTCTTTGCAGCTGCATAATGTACATAGTTCCGCGGTATGTGTGTGTCATTGGCAGTAGCTGCTACAGTGCTCTAGTGCTATAGATGAGGTTGTGTCTCATGATGAAACATGATGGGTGCAGACAGAAGTATGTCATTCAACGTTCATTTTAAATGTGAACAGAAATTTATCAGTCACTGTCTTTTTCACTGATTGCAACCTGCAGGTCATGACATGAAAGAAATACAAATAATGAGGGGCTGCGGTGACTCATATGGTATATTTTTGGAGTCACACTTCGGATACTATGAAATTGGCACCAACAGTAGCGTTCTGAACTAGTATGAGCAGACTGTACAGACATTAAACAGATGACTTTTGGTGTGAAAATAAATTAGCACAAAATGTTCCGCAAAGCAAAAATGATTCTGACACCACTGAGAAAATGGTGCATATCATGTGACGTGGTAATAAACATGGAATGCTGTGAAAAATGGCACCTAGAGTAGAGAAACCAGGCTGCTCCCCAGCTGACCTCACAAAAGGAGTCGAGCTCAACAAATGGATGATGTGAATCTCCTATTGCTTATGCCTTGCAGCAGAATTACAGCACACTGCTTCAATTAAAACACAGAACAAGAACTGATTGTGCAGAGGAGAGAAGGCTGAGCGGCAATACTGCAGACAAAGCGGGCAAAACTAAATTTAAACTGTTGAGAACATTTCCTATTTTTAAAGAGGTCAGAGTCATATTCTGGCCCCTGTCAATTGTGTTTGTTTTCTCATTACTCAACTTCAGAGATCTTTTTTTCTCTGTAATGATTCTTCCTCCTTTTAAAGCATGAAAATAGAACAGAGGAGAATTGCTTTTTTATCATCTTAAGAAATTTTTTGTACCTGCAAATTAAGTCTATATTTAGAGAGTGGCATGTTTGCCAGAGGCTTTAATGTGGCAGGTCTTCAAAATCCATTTCCTCATGTTCTGTCTCACTTTTTCTACATATTGCAGTATTTTCAGTTTTAGATATTTTACTTTTGAACTTTTTGTTCTGTTCTGGCTTCAGATGTTGCTGTCAGACAACATGCCAATTTGACTCAGCAGGAGCTGTTATTTGTTCAGTTGTTCTGAATCTGATTACTCAAAGACCTCAGAGAATATGAGATTTAAAATAGTACTTCACCATTATAATGTGCTTATCGGTCAATAATTGAGCACCACATTCTTCATGTAATATAGATGTGTTTTATTAGAAATAAGTCACATTCATTTTGTGCTGTGAAAACTGTACATTTACAGAAGGTAAAACAGAACATAAAAAGTGTAGTGACAATAGGATACAAATGGGTATTTAATACATGTAACTCGAGGTATGAGTTGGGCTGTGGGCAGGACAGAGGAATTCAAAGGGACAGGGGAATTGGCTGGTAGTACATACTGTTGAGTTACTGACAAGGTTATCAAAAACACACCGTTACAGAAGACATGAGGTTTAATTACCCATCGCTATACAGCGGAGAGTAATAACAAATATCCTGAAGCACAGTTTAGAGATATTCATAGGCTATCATTCATTCTATATAATGTTTGCTGTATAGAAGTACAAGTATCTACCTGTCACAGCTCCAAATATGGAGTCTTGTGCTAACAAATCTCTAGCGAATAAATTCCTTGAATTACTAATACAATATTCTCATAAAGCATCTATATGCTCCGTAAATATGAGGAAGATGGTATAAAAGTTTTGAAACATTGGTAAGAAAAAACTTCCTAAATCATAATATCAGTCTTGCTTGAGCATCAAGCACCCATCATATTGCACTATTTCACACTGATGGCTGAAAACACAAATGTGTTGAAGTCTCGAGGACCTGACGCTGCACTGGAAGTCACATCAGCGTCAGGAGCCTCTGTTCGGTCCAAGAGTCCTGCAAGGCTGAGAAACAAAAGGGCGATGATGAAAGGTCTCGCTGACCCCTTAAATCCATACGTGCGACATGGAAGAGCCTGCATCTTGTGCCAGCTGAGAGGGGGTGGGGGGGGGTGGGGTACAGTAACCCCTCCACCCACCATAACTTTTCCACCCAGCATTCCCCAGAGTGCACTGCTCTTCCCATGTGAGAGTCCGTGTTCATTCTGGTGCTGGTGCTTTGGTATCGAAGCAGAATGCTGGAGAAACCAGGACATGTTGCGTAACTAACCACCACTTCCATCACCACTCAGTATGTTTGTCCCGATGCAGTCCATATGGGCTCAGAACACATTACAGATGCACTGAGGCTTTTTTTTTTTTTTTTGAGCCTAATGTTTTATGTCTACAAAAACAATAGAACTTGTGCCTGATAGTCATGAGGGGAATGAAAAATCAAAATATAGACTATAAACTCAATAATGACAATAATAATAATAATAATAATCATAACACTGACAGTAATCATTGGAATAATAATATCCATGGTGGTAACAACAGTGAGAAGCACTATTAGCATGATTAAACCTGTTCTCCAGTAGAGGAGAGTTATTTTCTCAGTAGAGAGTCTCATATTCAGTTATGTTGAAGCAGTTCCAGGTATGAAGCAGTACAAATAAACACGCAAACTAATAAACTAAAATAAAATAACCCACGGCACAAAACCAAAATGTGTGTGCCATCTACCAAAGTGCAGAGTGTTGGACTCCAAACATGAAACTGATCCCTTATGCTCTCGTGCCTTGTCCTATTTTGGAAGGTAACTCGGCTGGTAGAGAAGCAGCCAAGAGTTCCGGTTGTTCCTCCCGAGAAGCAGGGAGGACACACCGTTTTAATATTATTAAATTTTTCTCCAAAGTTGAGTTGAAGGAAAAAAGAAGCACAGACATGTCGACCACATCTTCTGAACCCAGGCTGAAGGGGTTCAGTGAACTCCCAAGTGAAGCATTAATGGAACCACAACCAGTCCTGGTCCATGGAAACCACTGATCGCTCCACTAACCCTTCGCCCTTCGGAGCACTCGGACTCGAGATGCTTTTAAGTCCACACAGAGAAGCTACATTAAACATCCCATAACCACCAACTCCACTCTTCCATCCCTCCTTCTCTCCCTTACTTCCTGCTCTGGCTGAGGGTTTGAAGACATTGATTGTGGGACCTACTTTCTCACTTTCTCCCTTTCTTGGTTTCCTCTACTCTATCCATATAGGATCTCATTCCCAAACCAAAGAGGTGACAGAGGTGAAATCAGGTGGCTTCGCTCGCCCCCCCCCTCCCCCTCAGACCTCTGTCTGCAGGTCAATGATGTCCTGCCCCACTAAAGGGATGGTGGTGCTGGTTTTCTCCCAATCCACAGAGTGCAGCTCCAGAGGTGAGGCAGCTAGGGGCTCCAGGTCTTTGCGCACCCATGCAGGGGGCGACTGCGGTATTCCCCGGACTCCCTCCCATGGCCTCTCCAGTGGAGCCTGCTGTTTGTCCTGTTGAAGCACAAAGAGGAGCCACATTTAGCACTTGGTGTCACCCATTAGCCCTGAGCAATTCCTGATTTAATCAAAATGAAATGGGACTCATTACATCAAATGTGATTTTCTAATAATGAAAGTCATATTGTCATTTGGGGAAATTATTCCTCCTCGAGGCAAGTGTAATATCTGATGCTGTGTCTCGTCTATAGGCAGTAAATTTGAGATTTGTGTGAGGTTGTATATAAACACTCACGCTGTGGTTCGTTTTGTCACTTCCACCTGAAGACACACTCCATCTCACAGACTGTAAGAAGGAAGGAGGGAAGGAAGAAAATACATCCTTATTCAAATGACCTCAGGGTATTGACAACCACAGTTCAATACACAAGCCACTGGTTGTTTTATAAGGTCATTCTTACATCAACAAATCTTTCATTTTAAAAGTAGAATTGCCTCTGTTGTATTTCTCTTTTTTACAGTTTGTCCATATTGCTCTGCATTTCCTGGAAATTAATGTTTATGGAAATGGAGGATGAGCACATTATTCTGATGTGTTACCTTGCTGTCAGAGGCAGGTGACTCTCTGTCTTTCTCAGCATGATGTAGCTTCCTGTTTAGGTCCTGGAACATGTTCTGGTGGCGTTTCTTTGTGTGCATTATTTTCTACAGGAAGCAAAGAAAAACATAATTTACTCTCAAAATGTACGGAATCTATTATACATTTCATATCTATCACATGTTATTTTTAGTCTTTAGATCAGACAGCATTAAAACAATATTTACCTCAAAGTCCAACTCAGCATAACGGGATTTCTGTCTCTGCAAGGAAAAGACAGACAAAGAAAGGCGGTTAAGTCTCAGAAGAATATTAGAAATATTGCACAAAAATTCATGAAGCAACTATTCTGCGAGAGGTCACACTACTCCATCTATCTTACCTCCAAGGAGCTCATGGACAGTGTGGAGATGGTCTCACTCTTGGACATCATGGAGTTCATGGACTCGAAGGTGTTCTCCAAGCTGCTGTGGGTGATGTGAGACTCGCTGGACATATTGTGGATGTTCTGGATGGGAGAGTCTCTCTCTGAGTACGACACGCTGACCTGGTCGGGAGGGATCGACTTCATCCCGAAGGCAGCCTGGGGCTCGGCAAAGGGCCCGCCGAGGTGCATCAGCCTTGCCTGCGGCAGCTGCTCCACGCTGATGTTGTACTTTGTCGGGTCATCTTTGGGCTTGGACCTCAGGGTGGAGGTGGTGTTGGGCATGAGGACGTAGCCGCTGCCATCAGAGAGGCTGCCCTCGGCCTGAACCCGAGCGAGATCGGCATCCAGCTGCTTGAAGAGCTCCCCCTCGCAGACGTACACAGGTTTCCCGCAGGTTGGGTCGACTCCTCCGGCCAGCCGGCTCTTCTCTCTCTTCAGGGTGAGGGTGTGGCTGGAATATTCGGGAACGGCCTGCATGTGGCTCTTACTGGGGTTGGATGGCAGGGTGTGGAAGTTGGAGCCCATGGGGAGAGGCAGCTGAGGAGGGGGCATCTTCTCTTCAGAGGAGCTCTTCATTCCTTGTAAGAAAAAATGGTAAGAGAGTTAAAGAATGATCAAGAACCATGCCACGTCTAAAATATGGTTGCCACGTCTAAATACGGTTCAATAAACACAGTCTTTTTATGCATGATCAGATGTTTTAAGTGCAAGGCTCACAGAAATTGAAATGCAAATGGAAAAATGGTTAAGGGCAAGAAAAAGTTGATGCAAAAAGGGGCTTACCTTGTCTGCTCGAGTCTCCATCCTTTTCGTTATCAGACTGCTGATAAAAGAATAAAAGATGTTCTATCAGTGCTTAATGTATGCACATATCAATTTAGGGGTAAAATGCAAGAGGCACTCAAGACATTAAAAAGGCAATAAGCCAAGAAATTTACCATAAGCTGGGTGTGGCCATTGTGAAGGGAACTGCCAGAGTCTCCATTCCCATCGTCCTTGCGGTCAACTACTCTGCACTTTACAGCTTCTTGAACCTAATGGAAGGAGGTGGGGGAAAAAAAAAAAAAGTTCAAAAACACAGCTCATGTAACCTCATAAAGACAACCAACTAAACTTTTTTGTTTTAATGCCCATTACTTTATCTCATCTGAATGCTTTCTCTTACCTCTCTACGCAGGATGCAGTGAACCATGACAATGATGAAACCCTCCAGAGAGTCGAACACGGCAAAGAGGATCTGGAAGAGGGCAGAGCGGCGGTCGGTGATGGCCAGGACAGCGGACATCCAGGTGAGGGCCAACAGAGGCAGAACCACGCAGGAGCTCCACAGCGACGCGCTGCAGGGTGAGAAAACAACGGGTTAGACACGACAGGCTCATACAGGCCGCTTCTCTACAGGCAGAGCTCGACTCTCTCCTCTTGTTTGATTGTGAGCCTTGATATCAAAGCACATCATCAATACACCTGTAATGGGACTGATGAGGGCGATAAGCGCAATATTCTGGTGTACACAGAAGATCGATAAGACCTACCCAGCTCTCTCCTTCAGCTTCACGTCGGTGATGCCGTCCTTGGATACCAGCTTGTTGAAGACCAGAATACCAATGACCATATTCACCTGTTTGTAAGAAGAAAAAAACAAAAAACAAAAAACACATGGATGAGACAATGTAATAATGGGTAATGCATTTACAAATAGACTACGCATTATGATGGACCGGGAAGTCAGTATACACACCAAAACAACAGCTGCAGCAGGGCCAACAAAGGAGTAGAGGAGTCCACCCTCAAGAGACAGCCAGCAGCTAGAAAAACAAAAAGGAGGGAGAATATTAATGCTTGAGCTAAGGGAAGAGTTTCTCTGGTTGAATGCAGAGAGAAGGGAGGGAGCAGAAGTGGCAGGTTGAGACTTACTAGTTGACAGTGCCGTATCCCTTAGCTTTTGTGAATCCCACTGACACCGCCACCACCAGTGCAGGAAGGCCTGTAAGATAGAAAATGTGCAAGGGGGGAAAGTTAGAGTGTAAAAAAAAAAAAAAAAATAGAACAGAAAAAAATAGAAAAAAGCTATTGTGATGCGGAGGACAAAAACAAAAGAAGAGAAGAGATGAACCTAAAGGCAGGTGCTCTTACCCCAGCCTAAGCACAAGAAGCGCTTGCGGATGATGCGGTTGCGCAGACGACCAGTGACAGCCATGTAGGACTGCCAAGCTTCTGTCAGCACCCAGCAGAAAGAGGAGAGGAAAAAGAAGTGCAGGAAAGCAGCTACGAGAGTGCACACCACCTGTGGGAGCCCGGGAGGACGGAGAGATAAGGGAAGAGGAAGGATGAGAAATCTGTGTCAGTGGCACCGCTACTTCCAAAGTCCCCAAAGCAGCGAGTTTCAGAGAGGTTTAAAAAGGAAGAGGTTAGGATTGGCTAGAAGAAGTGCCGTACCTTGTTGCGAGCCTGAGTTTGTCCGACAAGGATGAGGGCATTGGAGCATATAATGGAGAGGCAGAAGTTGATGAGGATAACGGAGCGCTCGGAGCGGATGTACCTGGAGTTTTGAAAAGGGAGACGAAAGGAATGAGTTCCGGGGAGGATTACCAGAGCACACATCATATCCAGTCAGAGGCAGACGTGGCTAGAGTTTGCTCGTGCTCGTAGGGTTACTTACTTCCACACGGAGACGTAGATGATGATGAGGAGCAGCAGGGTGAGAGAGGAGACCCCACAGCCAACGATGAGAGTCACGGACGGGAGCAGTGCCTTGTCCATGATCTACAGAGAGGAGACAAGACCGAACATGCCTCTTAGAGCTGATTGCACACACGCATACACATTCATGCAGAGGGGAAACTGAGACCCACACGCATACACATGCACGCACTAGCGAAGCCTCTGGGTGTGCGCTATCTGGAATAGCAGACAGCTCCCTGTAGGCAAACAGTTGAATGGCACAATCAGGCCACGGCTGAGGCAAGGTGACCCCAAGGTGAACGCGTCAGAAAGATGGAGAGGCAAACTAAACAAATGGTCAGGGTCACTGCGTTTCTCCATTGAGCTTTTGAGTCAGCAAATGAGGCGAGGAGGACGCTGCACATATATCTCTATCTGCTAAGCGTGGAGGGTGGGGTGGGGTGTGGTGAGGTGGGTGTTGAAGTCCCAGGGGCAGTTCAGGGGGGAGTTGTTGTATTCAGTCATTAGTCTGAACTGCTACAACAACCTTCTAATAATACGTCAGATGTCCTGAGCTCATCTTTTCCCCTTCTCCTTTAGCATTTTCACACTATGTTGGCGTCGTGCATTGTGCCAACTAGCAGCTCCTTGCTCATCCCTGCAGGCGTGAACAGGTGGACCATTATCGCTTGTGCATTAATCTGCCACCACCTGCCCTTCTGATCTCTGACAGCAGCTTAGCGCCTGCCACTGCCAGCGGTGGTGACCGTCCCATGTTTCAAAGCAGCCCTGGCACCGGACCTCTGGTGGAGGAAACGGAGAAGGGATTGTCTTTTGCCCGTCTTCCCTGCTGCTCATTCACCCGGAGGGCCGATGGGTCACTGCCGCACACACAAATCTTAGCTCCTCCAGACTTCACAAAGCCCCTCGCTGCCTCGCTAACACACCTACAAATCACCAGCAGCTAATTGTGTGGTTTTACCGTCCGTCTCACACCTACTCTGGTGGCTTTAATAAGGCTTTGAGCTAATCTAACACCTCCGATGAAGTTGTCATCACCACAAAAGCATGTGAGGTAGATTACAGTTGTTTGGGCTGTGAATGGAGAAGTCCTCGTTGCCAAATGGCGAGATTATATTTTGGATAATGAGTTGAGAGGGAAACGGGCGAGAAAGGGCTAAGTGGCTCCAAAAGGTGAGTGAGAGAATGGCCTGAAATATAATAAATCTGCAGGTATCAAATTAGCACAGACAGAGGGGAAAGACATGGACACCGCTTTGGCCTTCATTTGATTTATGATGGTCATAAATTCTTATATTGCAAGCGTATGTGAAGCATAGCTTCTAATACTTCTGCCATTGTTGATAGTGTCTCAGAATTTAAATGGTACAACATTGAGCCTTGCAGGATTGTTCCTCTCCGTCTCAATATATGCCCCACATAGACTCGACTGATATCAAAGCACAGCTGGTGAAGGCCGGCCTACGGCAGCCAAAGACTAATTTAGTGTGGCAAATTTGTTTCAAAATCTAGCCAACTACATCAGAAGCGCCCCAAAACAGATGGCAGATAGCAGAGTGGTGAGCAGTCTTTTTGCTTCAGCCTTTACCGTATCTAGGAGAAGAAAAAAAAAAAAATATATATATATATATAACGCGGGTGATACAGTATGTTCTGTTCCCTCTCTTCCCAATCTCTATATCTGGGTTGATGCTTGCACCGCAGGTCTCTGAGTGAAAGCCAGACAGCCAGTTTGACCTAAATATGAAGCATGTCTTCTGTCTGTCCTTGACTGAATCACGTGTGCTAATTCTGAACAAATCTGAAGCAGGAAAAGGAAGAAAAATGTGCAGAGAAACCCTTAGCCATTTTTTTTCCTTTTTAGGGTGTTGGTTGGTTACACCGCTGGTCAAGGGCATTTGCTGTACTAACTATGCGGGCTACTCCCCCTGGACCACCATGTTTCCGACACACATGATGCTACAGGAGTCTTGAGCCCTGACCATGTTGAATGAGAGATAACACACTGCAGTATCTGGCTCTTTTTTTCAAATCTCCTCACTCCCTTCTCTCTGCATTTCGCTTCTCGCTGGTGTTGCTCATGTGGCTCGCAGGAAGATGTTATTGAAAATGTCCACAGCACACATCAAAGGATGGATGGAGAGGCGGGGTTGGGGGGTGGGGTGGGATAGGGTGGGGGGGGGGCATCAGGGCATGACCAGACGTCTGTCTCTCATTGGTCCACCTCACTGGCATTTTCAGACTTGCTGCTGTGGCCGAAGAGGAAGAAGGAGGAGGAAGAGGAGGAGGAGGAGGAAGGGATAAGGGGGGGGGGGGATGTAATCGAGAATTCAGATATATTGGCAGACGAAATGATTGGCGCAGCTGCCTTTTTACTGTCGCGGGAGGTTGAAACGAGGGGGTATGTGAAGCCTCTAACAAATACGGGAGGCACTGTCCAGACTGGCAACAGCAGGACAAATCAAGTCTAGGATGTAAACAACAGGTTGGAGAGAGAGAGAAGAAGAAGACGAGGCTGAACTGGTTTAGCAGCAGAAAAACACTGCAGTCCAAACACCTAATCTGTTGTGCCACCGACTGCACACTAAATAAAAAGGAGGAAATGAACTAAATGTGCACTTAAAATATACATTTCCTCAAGCTGATAGACATCTGTTGATAGTGTTTTGTGTGTGTGTGTGTGTGTGTGTGTGTGTGTGTGTGTGTGTGTGTGTGTGCAGCAGCAGTCAGATGCACAGCAGAGATGGACAGACCATTTCCTCTGTCCTGGGGGGCTGTTCAGAGAAGAGAGGAGGGAGCTGTGTGAGAGTGTGTGTTTTTCCCTCAGCATCTCAGTTAGGGCTATCAAAAAAAAAACAAAAACAAAAAAAAACACACAGGCCGAGTTTGCCTGCAGAAGCCGTTACCAAGGCAACTGGAGAGCGAGCAGGCAGCTTTAGAGGCAGCACAGTCTACAGGGGGAAAATTACACATTGTCTTTGCGCATGAAATACAACAATGCGTAATGTTAGATTTCGGTAAGCAAAGCATCCGCTGCGCACAAGTCCCCCCCCCCCCCGCACTAACTCTGTATACTTAGGATAAACATGCATAATTCAAAATCCTGCATAATCGGAAATTAAATGGTTACAGAATGATCGGAAAGTCATTGTGAGTGATTGATAACTCGGGATCAATGTTTCTTAATCGTCACCTACATAAGCTATTGCTGCAATAGATTTAACATTATTTTGTCAATTATGCAGCTTATTGCAAAGCAAATAGGCATCAAATTGACGCACTCGTGCCCAATCGACATGCAACGATGCAAATCATACTGATTTCATTTTAAAGCCAAAAATGTAATTCCTGCATATCAACACGTTGCTCAGTTATTTCCACTCAATTAAAAAAAAAAAAAAAAATCAGGTTGGCTGCAATTCTCCGATCAGCGGCACCTGCACGGAGACAAAGAGGCTCTGGCAGCAGCGGCTACAGCAAACCGATCGAAAACAACAAGTACTATACGTTCACACTGCACCGCATTCACACACACACGCATCACACGAAACATTCAAGATGTTGATGTTGGCAAAAGAAAAAAAAAAGACAAGCGAACATTTGTGAAGAGACAGGAGACTTACCGAGTCGAAGTTGATGCGCGCTAAAATGGCGAAGGTGGAGGGGCTGTCACACACGCATTTGGTTCTGAATGAATGAACGGGGACCGATCTGCAGCTCCGAGCAGACCAAGACCCAAGCAGAGAGGAACTGCACAGGGAAGGAGAGGGAAAGGCAGCGACGGGTTAGGAGAGGAGAGATCTGACTAATCTCTCATGTGAATGCCACATAATGTTTTTTTCTTTTTTTTTTTTTACCCCCCCCCCCATATTTAGAAAATTGTGCTTATGATTGGCATATCTGAATTGAATTTTAAATAACGCCAATGCATAGAAAAGTCATAGTTTTCACATTTTACATAACATTTAAATACTAATATATTAGTTCTGTGATCCAGTGTGAGAACAATAAATATTATTTTAAATAACAGGAGGTGATCAGTTGCAGCTCTTTGATGATGATGGCTTTCACATTTAAGTGATTAATAGCCATCTGTGCCATGATGATAGGCCTTCATACATCTCATTATTAGCATTATCTGTACCATTTCTTGTTATGGTTAATGTTTCCTCAGTAGACAGAAGATTAATGGCAACACTTGGGCAGTGCACTGGAGACAAAGGGACAATGTGTTCTTTCTTTTCAAGGATGGGAGAACCACCTGGATTATGATGTTTTCTTTCTCTGTTGTGAGGAAATCTACACTGCACTTTATCAGTGTACATAAATTAAGGCATTTTTGACCTTATATATGTGCAGGATTTGTTCCTATTAAACTCTCTTGCTAAGTGCTAAGTCTGATCAGACAAAAAAAAAAAGAATCCATTACATTACAAAGTAAAATCAATAATGAGTGCTTCTTTCATAATGAGCCCATCTTTCAAATGAGATGCACTTAAACAATGAGTTCGAATCAACTTCTACCAAAACACTGGATCCACAGTATGTTGCTACAGATGTTCTGAGACTTCAGCAGAACAAATCAAGATCTGCCTTCTGTGTGTGAGCAGCACAAGCAGCAGATGCCAGAGAGCACAGAGGAGGTTAGGGCAATGAGCGGCAACTCCAGGCTCCTACTGGCTGGTGAACACAAAGGGGCATCATAGCCAGCGGGTGCAAGCCTGGTACAGAGTGTCATGGGTGGGAAAAATCATCATGGCATTTATAAACTGCAATGGCATCCAAGTATAGGCTTGGCTGCACCGTTTAATGCGTGCTAATGTTGAAAAGGTTGTCATATCATGTAGATGGGTTACATGTTGTGTGGTGATGTGTGATGCAGAGCTTTTCTCTATCCTCCGCTTTCATGTCTCAAAAAGCTGAAGATCATTCTATCTGTATCCATCTGGTTAAATCTGAGTGGCAGAGGAGATAATTGACTTCTTCCTGTGATCAGAACGCTCACAAACATATGCAGCTCTGCAAACAAGCATTGACCCCAAACTCTGCCCCCAGCCAGAGCTTCCTCCTCTGCCATTTCCACGGCTTCTATCCTGCCATTAATCACATCCGCTGTCAAAAATGAATCTAATTTGACTAGAGGCACATTGCCCTCTCTCCGAAAGTAAATGAGTTAATTACATTTTCTCCTTCGATTCATTTTTGCTTTTGCTTTGACTCTAGTTGTTATGGTTTATGTGAAAAAATATATGTGTGTGTGTGTGTGTGTGTGTGTGTGTGTGTGTATAGGGGGTTGGGGTGTCTGGGCATAGGTGCATTCTCATCCTCCACAAGTGCACAAATCTATCTAAATGCAAATGGTGCACCTGTGTATTCTTCAGGAGGGCAGAGTGTAGCCTGGGGCTGTTTGATCCAGGCCAGGCCACCAGGAGCCGCTTTCATAAGTCATTCAAATGCACGTAAGCATCTTTAAAAACTCCCAAGCGCCACAGCCTTTATCTGTGGCAGTGACATATGAACATGGCTGAGAGGAGAGGGAGGGAGAGCTGCCATTGTCTTTAGATTGAAACTCTGTGCTGTGCCCTATAGGGATGCTGCGTTCAAGTGTTGCCTGCGTATTTTTCCCTCCTCAGGATGCTTTAAGCAATGCAGGAGACCATTAGATCTCAGCGGAGTGTCACTCAGCGAAGGACCACTGTGGGTCGTTGGCGTTGTCATTCCTTAAGTCTGTGTGTCATGCAGTTAAGTATGTCAGACAGCTGAGTGAAGCCCGTCGCTTCTGGCTGGGAGATGGGCCGACATGTTGTGGCATTGCTCTGTCCCCCTTGTCAGAAATGACTGAGAAATGGCTGAGGTGAGTGTACGATCAAGGGCGGTTGAATATTCATATGCAGTGACCGAAGGAACCAACAAGCCCACGGATCGGCTGATGAGGCCACCCAGGATAGGAGAGAGATGCGAGAGCGATGGTTAGATGCACGTTTACAAGGAAAAACAACTGTGGTCAACACTTACGCTTCGCTCTCGTCCCATGAGAGGCACGTCTCATTCATGGTGCCCTGCAAAAAAAAAAAAACAGAGAAGCAGATGGAAGACGTCAGTGTGAGGAATCTCTGCAGAAAAGGGAAACGTGTAGGTTGGGACACTGTACTACAAAACGTGTGAGATGCAACAGCTTGCCGCCAGCCACCTGCCCACATTTTCTCGCCACCCTCCCCCGTAATACATGTGCGAAACTAAAAACAGCTTCTTGTCAGCTACAGAGACCAATTACTGCACATGACTTGTCATCATCATCATCATCATCATCAACTGACCGTTTGGTTACTCTGTTCTTTGCCGGGTTTCAACTGACAGCAAGTATACGTAAAATCCACAGTGTCACTGCAAATGTCAACCAAATGTCAGGCTCTGTGCATTGCGGTGAGCGAACACCCGGAGGCGGGGGGGGGGGGCTGATATTTTTTCTCATAATGCTCCATTAGATGGGGTAATCATTAGAGGCTTACATTCTGGAGGTGGGGGAACTCGATCTCAACGGGGGACGACAAGAGAGATGTTGTGGGGTTGACGATCACTGTCACCACCTTGGAGTTGAGCAGGGTGGTGTTACTGTGGAGAAAGAGGAAATGACACAGTCAGCGTGGTGCAAGTGAGACATTATAGCATGAATCAATGTGGTCAAGGTGATGTGGGGTATTTGTAAGGCCTTATATTAAAAGATGAGACAATAAATGTAGGAGAAAATATAGAGGTAGCGAATCTTTCAGAAAGGAGTGCCATCTTGTGACTACAAAATGTATTTCATGGAAGGCCAGTTTCATACACAAAATTTGTATTACCTCTGGAAGGACAGGATAGAAGCGAGGTTTCTGTAGAGGACGATGCCAGTCACAAAAGCATCATTGCCATCTGGAAAGAATAAAATGCATGCTTGGACTCAAATTCATAAGACTGAACATCAGTTGATCTTCAAAGAAAATTTTTGTTGATATCTCTTACCAGACTGTTTAATGGACAAAGCATCACGGGAAACTGAGATCTTCTCCTCGGAGGTCCTAACCCAGTCCAACATGCCCCTCCAGCCCTTCACAGGGAAGGTGAAGTTGGAGTTTGTAGTTGCCGGGCGCTTGTGGATGCTCAGCACTAAGACGGGCGGAGATTGACAGACAGAGGCTTAGTTAGTGAAAAAGCACTTAGAGGTCATCTAACTCTACGCAGTTTCTTATCTACACTGCGTTGGTTTAAGAATCGTCTCAATGAACTGAAGCAAACGCTGCCAAGGACATTTTTGTTTCATGCGTCACGTGTGTCCGACCGGAGAAGTGATCTCCCACTAAATCCAGTGAGGAATGTCACCTTCACTGAGCCAAAACAGCCCCACAAGTCACAGTGATTCAGAGTGTGAACTTTACAGTTACTCTTACAGTGCCGTATTCGACAGATTGATAAGTTCGTGTATGTGTTCTGTGAAATATACTTATGATTAGATGCACGACATCTTGGGAGATGGCACAAGTGATATGGTATCGCTCATGGGCTTGACACACTGTCAAAGCGATAACTGATGCATTCTGCTGCTGCTCGCATGGACTCGGATTCAGAGGGCGAGATTAAGATTGATGCACTCTCTGGCTGCAGAAAGGACAAATCATCCTGACTAGACATGAGCAGAGAGCAGCTGGCAGAGGAAATTAAGGCTCACCAAAATTCTCGGTGACTTCATAAATGTCCTGGAAGCCGCTCATTTGCATACCGATCATGTTCACAAAGTCCTCCACAAGGCGGAGGAACTCCTTAATGCTGACACCCATCTGCAGAAAACAAAAAACAAAACAGAAGGAAGGAGAGATTTAAGAAGAGGGAAAGTATGAGGAAAGGGCAGTGGCACATTCATCTAGTTTCTTTACATGCAACTAACAAGGTTATTGATTTCATGTCCATATCTACATTTCCTATTCTTGTGTCAGTCCAGCTTGTATTTATTATTTCAGAGCTCTCAGTATTAGAGTGAAAAAAAAAAAAAAAAACACTTCTTGCTGCTATGCAACCTCCAAACTTCCTTAAGGCCATAAATGGGCAGACTGTTGATTCATACTCTGGTTTTTTTGTCCTCTCCCACTCGCTCAGAGGAAGGGAGGGCTGCCTGACTTGCGTGTCTCTGACGCAGAACTGCAGTGATGTGGGCGCAAAGGTGTGTGCTTCTATGCGATGTGCTGTCTGCGTCCCCTTACAACTGCCATCGGTATGTAAGATGGCATGTAAGAGACTCGCAGATTGCAAAGTGGGCGTAGTGACTCTCCTGGATTCAGCCTCTCTCGCTGTCACCTTTTGAGTGTTCGCTTTCTCTGGTCGCAGTGGCCTTGCTATTTCACCATCCAGTTTTCAATTTGTGCACAAATATGGGTTTCACGCTCTGCAGTGGAAGCCTTCTGTTTGTCTAATTTTTTTTTTTTTTGTTGTTGTTGTTGTTGTAAACAGACAGTTTCTCAGGGAACTTTATTAGTAGGAACTGTTTCCTCACTCACTTTAACAGGAACACAGAGAGTGCCATGAAATGGGGGGGGGGGCAATATATCAACAGGTGGCCAAACTAGACAAAGTCCTGTTTAGTCTGTTGGAAGAATAACTTAGGAATTAATAAAAAAAAAAAAAAAAAGAAAAAAAAAGGTAGTGCTAAATGATAAGTCAGGCTGTAGATGTTTAATTTAATGCTTTTTTTTCTTGTAATTGTCTAATCTGAGATACTTTTTAACTCTGGACGTCATATTCTTATTGTATTCAAATCGTGGGAGTGTTAATCAGCCCAAGCACGCCAGTCATTGATACTCTCTCAACTCTCTCATACACACCCCAACAACTCTCTCTCTCTCACTCAAATTGTCCCACACACACTCATCTCATCACAAGAACATTAGCATGACAGACTTATTTTTTCCCCCCTCTCATACAAACACCCTCTTCTCACGTACCAGCTGTGCCTCTTCCCATTTGTCACGATGTTCCTCCTTCAGTAAGTTGCTGATGGTCTGGACGTAATTCTGCAGATCATTAAATGGAGTCAAAGGTGTAAGAAGATACCAAATCCATCTTAATTAGAAACTATTTTTGGCCAGAGAAGCATAAGAGAGGTGATGTTATTATTTCTTAAATATGTACATATGTAGCACGTTGTTGAGAATGAAAGAATCCTTTCAGTGGTTAACTAACAAGAGCTCATCTTACCGCGACATCAGCGTTGCTCAGTCTCAGCCTGGTTCCCTTGTACAGTTCGGTGGTGTTCTTCAGGATTTCCATGATGGCCAAGAGGTCGCCGCTGTACTTGGCTCCTTCATCAGAGGAGAATCTCAGGCGTGAAATCACCTCAGCGACCCCGTCCACGCTCTGCCCCATCTGCGCTTTGGAGATGTAGTCCCTTGACTACAGAAGACAAGTCAAGAGGTTAATCTGACCCTCTGACATTCGCTGGTTTGACTGCACTACTAAGAAATTAGCCCTATTAAGAGATGGGGCATTTAACATTATCATCAGGGCAGCATCTTACCAGCATCTGAATGTTGTCATAGTTCTCAGAGACACACTTGATGTGAGTTGGGCTCTCCCAGGAGGCAAGACCTACGGCGTCCAGGGTGCACCGGCGCAGAATCATACCTGTTCATGAAAGAAAGTCCTTGTAGTTGGCATGACAAACAGTTTTACATATCCAAGCAAAGCAAAGTGAAACAAATCATCACTGTCTTCACTGCCACTGTACCTGAGGCATCAGAAGGGCAAGCGATGGCAGCCATGTCTCCAGCGGGGGTTTTCTTCCACACAACATCTCCAGTGTTCTGCTCAGGGCAGATCTCATGGGGCTCTGAAAGGTTACAAGAATAATGCATGATGCGATGACTAATTTATTTGCTAATTGGACTGTATTATAGTGAAGCCACGCTTATCCATCATCCATTGCTACGTATTAGAGTCACTAACCAGGGCATCTCTTCTCATTGCAACGCCTCTGCTCTCCCTTTTCACCGGGGCAAGGTTCTCCACCAAAGAAAGGCCCCTCACAGACTCTCTGTCTCTGCTGAATGCCTCCACCGCAAGTCTTGCTGCAGCTGCCCCATGAGCTCCATGCATGCCAGCGTCCATCAACTAAAGACACAATATTGCACAACATGAACTCTGGGCAGTGATATGTCTACTTCATATATATTTTTAATTGGACTTGAGTGTTGCTTGAATCTGAAAATACAGTTTCTTTCTTCTTTTTTTTTTTTTTACCGGGACAGTCTTTCAGGAAGCAGTTGCTCATCTCTTTCCAGCTGCCGTGGCACTCAGAGCCGCCGTAGGATGGCCCGTTGCACTCCCGTGTTCTCTGCATGGTGCCGTTAGAGCAAGAAGCAGAGCATGCACTCCAGGCAGACCACTCGTTCCAGTATCCGTCCACTAGAGGGAAGCAGATGAACATACACGCAGACAGAGTTATAGTGGGTGCAAGGACAAGACAGACCCTCAGGCCACACAGGCATCACGGCACACTCACTGATGCTATTAACATTTCACATGACCTACTTTAGCTGAGTTTAAGTGAAACAGAAAGTTGGAGCTCGGTTATCTGTCGTCCAAGCATGACTGTATGTGCCTCTCAACCTCTTATATCCACTGTCCTTAAAACTAAAATCAAGTTTATCTCATAATGGACATTAGATTTCAGTTTGGGAGTATAATGGTCTCAAAAGATCAAAACACTTCAAAAATAGAAGAAAAAAAAAATCAATCACAATTCCTATTATATGTTGCCTTGTAAAATAGATTTAAAAAATAGTGTGCAGTCTTAAAAACTTAGATTGGTCAAAATAAAATTTCTATCATGCTAAATAGACCATTAAGGCATGACTTAATTTCCTGAGTCTTTCAGTTTCAAATGAAATATGCAATCATCTCTCAATAATGACTTTGCCTAACAGCCCATCCTGTGTGTCAGACACTGGCAGTAATTGAGCTGTGGTGCACAGAGAGACATCTGCTGATGCTAATGTGCAACTGCAGCAAAAAAGTCACTTCTCAACTAACAGCACATGTAGTACTTATGATAATCACCAAACCTGGTGTGGAAAAGGTGTACAATCTGTGCAAACTGCAGCTGTGACTTCTAAATGAGTTCAGTCCTGTTTGCACATGGGTAGGTGGCAAAGTAGGAATGAATTAAGCTTCTAATATGTTGAGTGACCATGAGCAAAGTATGAGTCACTGACAGTTATTACAAAGCTACTGACTAATCCCCCACAGAGGCTTTTATTGTGTTGATGCGTCAGATGTCAACCTGCCACTGCAGTTGCTGTTTATGACAGTGGTGATGCCAATAAGTGGTCTCATTAGCTCTTATATATGAATCAGTTAACCGAACGATCACATATCACAGCCAGAGTCAGTTGTCTTGGGTTTTTAAGTATGGTAGCAGATGATTACAGTGATTCATAGAAGAAACAACAATTATAATCTGTTTTTTTCTTTTGCATTATATATATATATATCCACGAATACGAGTCTGCAATGATTTCAGATCCCTGACTCACCTGGGCAGACAGCGATGTTGCAGAACTTGGTTTGTCTTGTAGGGCCGCGGCAAGGCTCTCCTCCATTCTGGGGCAGCTTGCATGTGCGGGTACGGTCGCGGTAACCACGACCACATGTGGATGAGCACAGGCTCCAGGGGGTCCACTCATCCCAAGCACCATCCACTGCACATGGGTTACAAACAGGTATTGTTTGATGAAAGAAGTTGGAATTTGTGGTATTGTGACTCATTTTGAGGTTTCACAGGCTATGCACTACAGGCATATTTTGTAAACTCTCCACTAGGTGGGGCAGTCCTCCACACAATCCCTACATCTACAAACTATTAGGGAACTTTACTTGATATTGAATTGCAGCCTCTTTTCTGCAATCAAAATCTCAGTGTGTGAAAGCTCAAAAATGCCTCTCTCGCTTGTCTGCTTTTCTGCATCTACTTTTCCTTTGGGACTGATACTGTACAAATGGAAATCATTTAGGGATAATGGCTTTTACCTCAATTGCGTACTTCAGAAAGTGCAGTCCTAACATTTTCTCGCTCACATCAGAGAGGAAGAACCAGACACTCACCGGGGCAGACGACTGTGTTGTTGCAGGGCCGGTTCTCACGCAGGGGTCCAGTGCACTGGGTGGTGAAGGAGGAAGTAGCGCAGACGCGGGTACGGCTCTGCCATCCCTCCCCACAGGTGACTGAACACGAACTCCAGGAGGACCACTCGTCGGTCTTAGTGTCTACAGTGGAGAAAACATGAATTAGGGGGTCTGCACACCAAGCAATAAACACTCAAAAAGATTCTCTGGTCCACCTTTAGCATCTGTGGTTGAACTGTTTTCTTTTTTTTTTTTTACAGTAAGCCATTGATTCTTTGCATTCACCTCTGCAAAATCTGCATTATGTATAAATTAATAATCCCCAACTACACCACAGTGTCTAAAATGTCCATTAACCACCTTCCTATCTCACCTGTTTGAGTTGCAACAACTCCATGGTGGGTATCATCAACATTGTCTCTCTTCAAACCAATGATGGCCCGCAGACCCTGGCTCCTGTTGCGCTCCTTGCCTGAGAGAATTTGAAAATTGCATGATTATTGCATTGCATCCGAGCCATCTGCAGCCAAGTGCTCCCGGCTGAATGACTAAATGACAGGTGGGCTTACCAATGCAGGGCTGAGGGTTGCAGGCCCGCCCCTCTTCAACTGTTCCCTCGCACACACTGTCCTCGGGCTGGCAGGCTCTGCTGCGCACCTGGACTCCGCCGCCACATTCCTGGCTGCATACGGACCAGCGGCCCCAACCAGCCCAGCCCTCTGCAAGGAAGGCATGAGAAAAGATATTGAGCAAGGTTTGGAACTGGCACTGAATGAAATTACAGCATTATAGTTAACATTAGGTTGTGTGAAACTTTCTTTGTACAAAAAGTGTGCAAAAGCATGACTCAAAAAACCCTCCCTTTGTAAACTTGTAAACTTCATATGTAAGAAGAGGAAGTGAGTAATATTTGTTTTATGCGTGAAGAATGAGCGAGGACGATTCTTTGTGAGCAGTACCGAGCACTCACGCCGATAGATATTTCATTTGAAATGGTGATTGTTCGCTTTTAACCACTCACTGTGTGAACCACGGCAGAGCGGTGTGTAAGGCTGACAGGCGGGTTGCTATGACGACCAGAAGTGCTGCACTTCGATTTCCGCTGCCAGCTGACTGTGAGCTCTTTGTGCTCTTTTCTGACCCCCCCCAACCCAATCCAACCCACCCCATCCATCCTAACACACAAACATGCCCTCTATCTCTCCACAACCTCCGACTCCTTGCCAACCTAACATGCCTACCTAAGACAAAATGGAGAGCTGGTGATGTGTGCAGTTCAGGGGATCCTGCCACTTAGGCCTTAAGGTGCACTGGCAAATCTGTAACACCTTTCATTTACTTCTCATTACTCTGTGGTGTCAGAGTGCACATCCTCCGCCTGTGCCCCTGCTCCACAGACATGGATCATTACCCTCAGCAGCTCCTAAGACACAAACACTGAGTGATTGCAGGGCTGGAGACAGCCTGCAGAGCTGTGGGACCTTGGAGAACATGATCCCCCCATAAACAGTCTAACAAGGTGGAGGTCTTTACAAAACAACACAACAAACACAAGGGAACACCTTGGTTTTGTTTGAGGTGAGATGTTTGGTTAAACATCTTGTTTTTCCATCACATTTTAAAAAGTTTACAAACCAAAAAAAACAAAAACCTAACGTATTACAAACTTACTGATAATCTCAGCATCGCGTCCATTGTCTCTGGGAACTGGAAGGCATCTCTCAACGTAGACACCGCCCCTGTAGCAGCTTCCTGGTTTCCTCTTTGGGGCCTCCCAGCACTGGCAGGGGGTGTTCATGATGCCACAGGGATTATCATGGGTGCTACTGGACAGGCATTTCTCCAGCCACTGGCACAGCATCTGGCAGGCGGGCATACTTGGGTTCCTCTTCCCCACGACCAGAAACTCGGCCTTGAAATCGCTGACATCACTCTCTCCCTCCACAATCTCCAGTCCGTTCCTTGGTGCCACTTTGCGAATCTGCAGGAACTGCTTGCTTGACTCCAGGTAGGTGACAGTGGTTGAAGCGTCGCACAGCCTGACCACCTCGTCGAAGCTCTCCATGCCCAGGTAGGTGCGGGAGGTCTCGATAAAGGAGTCGAACTGGAAGGTCCTGATCTGGCGGGGCACGCAGGAGTCGGTGGGCTTGGTAATTTTCATGTAGACGGTGTAGCGGCGAGGATCAGGGTTCTGCAGGGTCCAGGAGCATGGTGTGGAGGGCAGGGTGGTCGTAGAGGAGAATACACCGAAGAAGCGACTCTGTTCCAGGGTGGCGCAGGTGGCGGAGGCCGGGCCGGAGGGAGTGCAGGAGGTCAAACCGAAGAAGAGCAGGATGAGGGCCACGCAGGGGCCGGTAAGAGCTGACCGCGCCATTGGGTCGGCTTTGACAGACGATGTTGATGTTCTTGTTTCTGTGATTGCTGGTTTAACCAGGTTGTTTCTTTGAATTCTTTGTTGCAAGTTACTGCACTTGCTTCAGATCTTCGGACTTATCTTCACAACCCCTCTTGCAGAATTGATGGACTTGTAGGTTTTAGTGCTTCAGACAATCTGTCATGTCTGTATCAGCGAGGAAGCTGCAGAAAATTGGGGAATGAAGAAGAGGGAAAAAAATCTGTCAGTGTATTCCAACATCTAAATAATTAGAAAAAACCCCAAATATATACATATATATATATATATATATATATATATATATCAGTATGCAGGAGAAAAAGCTTTCTCCACAATAAAGGCATTTTTTCACAATATTCATGAAATGCATTTTAATTGGACCCACTGTCGAACTGATATTTATGCATCAGGGATTTGCCTCTTATCAGTATCACAGTGTTTCAGGGCAGATTCGATGATCTAAAATGCCCAGTTCTTCGGGACATAATTGCTCCGGTACTGCAATTACAGTCCTTCACAGCAGGCTGGTATCTCCAAGCCCCTGCTCTTTCCTCCCACACACTGAACTGAACTGCGAATCATGTGCGTCAGTCTGACGTCCATAGAAGCATTGCCACTGGCAACCACAGACGCTTATTAGTTCCGTTATTTGTACAATGCACTCCTCCTATTGAGTGGTAAACAAGAGAAATGGATAGTCTGTGTCAGTGGCAAAGTGTGATTACATACCCTGCTGTAGGGTTTCATAAAGTGCATTACATACCAGAGCATACAAACCATGCTCCTAGAATGACAAATGACTCTTGCATATTAATGCAAATGCATGCATGTAAAAGCAGGAGTGTGCAGGTTTTAAACTTGTGAAATCACTAAAACCTACTCTAATCATGACTGTGTGTCCTGCTCTGCAGAGGAGCTGCATGCATTCAAATGAAGCATTCATAATTTTCTTAATTTGTCTTCAATCTATCTTTTCCCATGATAATCATCGTGCAAACAAGCTTTATGCAGATTACACCCTGACCTGTGCCTCTGAATGACCGTGCACCCTGCCTGGAGAAAGAGCGCAGAGTCAATATCAAGATCTCTGTAGTCGACTGGACTGGCTAAAACGACAGGAGATGCTCCTTGGAGCTCAGACGAGAGGAGGAAACACTGTTGCTCAGCAACATCTTTCACAGGAATTCGGGGCTATTCTTCTGCCCTCTCATGTTTTCGTACTTTTCCTTTCCTTTGTCACTCATGATTGTCAGTAGAACAGACCACGGACATCATCCTGTTAAACTACAACACATAAAGGTATGGTCAAGAATTGGATAATGTCTGCATGAAGGAAGCTTAAGGTGTTGTTTAAGGCTTACCAGTAAACACCTGTATTTGTATTATGTGACCGAGAGGTTAATCATAAAGACGGGGCAGCGCAGAGACACAGCAGCACAATTGATGCCTACGCTGACATTCACTTTGAGAAGCACCTGCACTTTTCAGGCAGGGAACTCATAATTACATTCCTCACATCTCTTTTCACATCTCTCTCTGCCTCCCTCTCTGCCTCCCTCTCCTCTCTGTGAGCAACACACAGCAAAGACCTCTGCTTTGTGTAGGTGGGTGCCTCTCTCCCGCCTCCCAACAACCGGAAGCTCCATGAATGGGCATCTGATGAGGCACACAGTGAAAAGAAAGCGGTCCAGCTGTCGTAGGAGAACTCGGGAGTCTGTGTTGCTCTTTTTCCACATAGTCCCTCACTTTTTTTTTTTCCCCACCGTCCCTTCTGTCCCTCCCTCTTGCCTGTAAATTTGCTGTCGTCGACAACATATCTGCAAAGCAGAGCAGAGCAGTTTGTTGTTATGGAGACAGGATTTACTTTTTTTTTTTTTGCAGATCAGTGTGAAAAACAGTGAAGAACTGCAAAAATTACCATCAGCGACAGGCTCTCTATTTATGCCAGCGTGCACAGTTTTGTAGTAACCTGTGTCATCACAGATACAGAAAGCTGTACACAGCTCATATGAGGTGTATAAAACCAAGAGAAGCAAGACTGCATTATAAAGCAATAAGGCGTGTGCAGACATTTGATGAGATGTGTGACATTTTCCCTGACTGCAGATGTTGAAGTAATTTGTATGACAACACTAGAAAGCAATGAAAAGATATATATTACTGTTTATCTGATGATACACCTGGAAGTCTTATGATTTTCCAGCCAGACTTACAATGACTAAATTGTAACATTTGAGCTGTTCAGTCTGAATGTTTTTGTCTGTATTGAATGATACATTTTTGCCTTACATGTGTGTGTATATGTGTGTGTGTGTGAATGCAATAGATGGATAAAGCCAGACCGACAATCACAATTTCCTAACCTCATTCTTTTCTTTACAAGTTGCTCTCTTTTGCTGAAGCAAACCTGAGAAATAAAAGCCATTTTTGTAGCCATTACAAGTCACTCTTTCTCCACAAAATTGGTCAGGCTTGTATTTTTTGCTGTACCCGCAGCAAGCACTTGCACACGTGTGCAAGAAACTAGACCACTTTGTAGCTTTGTTGCAGATCCATGTGACAGCAAATACCACCAACAGCAGAACTAAACAAGTTGCCGCAGATTGCTGACATGATCTCTCAGGCATCTAGGGACGAAGTTTATAAGACTCTGTGTGTTTGCTCAGATTTAAGGGATTTATTTGCAATCTTGCAGACGGGCAATGATCTTAGGAATCACTACAGTGAGTTATATGATGCAGGAGTCCTTCTTTTCTTTAAGCAAAACTAAACAAGCAGAGCTGATGAAGCCGAGGCTGTTAACTGACTGCTTTGCAAGTTGATGAAAGCAGACTGTATGTTATTCAAACAACTCTAAGTTGAGTTGTCAAACCATTGTAGTTTAAGAGAAAAAAAAAACTTAGTGGTTTGCATTATGCTACTAATACTGTAACATCTTCATCATCTGCAATCTAAACCATACAAGCACATACAATAGTTCCAGAGAGTTTTACTGAGCAACCTGTTACCAGAGAACTTTGTGCTGCTGCTGCTGATCGTCCACATCACCTCACCTGCACCACTACAGTACTACACTTATAGTAGGCGACACACGAGCCATGATACGGTACTAGAATTTATGGGCAAAAAAATCAAAAACAAAAACCATCTGTAGGGAAATAGACATTATGGGAAAGATGGTAACAGGAGCTGAAACAGGTGCAAAAGATAGTTCAACAGTTGCTCGATCATCCGCAGAGCAGAAGCCGGTGGAGAAACTTGAGAGAGAGAGAGAGTTGAAACAGACAAATCTGCTGAAACAAACTCCGAAGCTGCAGGACAATATTCATACACATCACTTATCCTCACTCTGTAACTCTGACCGCTCCGTCCACCAGCAACACATGGCTCTTTACGAAAGATACAAACGGACAAACAAACAGAAAAAAACAAGACAAAACACACGTTTTAAAAGTAAAATCAAAGTCGTCTCTTCTTACCTGGAAGTGCGTCTCCTCTCAAGTCTCGTCAGTGGCTCTCTGTCCGCTCGCCCAGGTGTCTTGATCGCCGGGCTCGGGGAAGCAGCTGCTGAGTTTATCTCAAAGTCTGACGCGACTCGAAGTCTTCAGATCTGTGCTCTGGCCAAAACTTTCGCAGTGTTTGAAGCCGCTGAAAGGATGCGCCAGGTCCAAGCAGGACCCCGGGTGGGTCGATCCCAAGTTCCAGTGCAGTCCACTCTCACAAGCAAAGAATAATTAAAGTGACTCTAACCAAACTCCAAAGAGTTTACTACCAACCTTGTTTAGCTGCTATATCCAGAGAAACTGGTTTATAGCGGAGTGACAAATTGGTTGTATCGGAGCTCCAGCAGACAGTCCGTAGAACCAAACGCTGTGTGGTCTCGCTTGTCTTTTTCTCTCTAAGCTCCAGGATAAAATGTTGGTACTTCTACTCCCGGCTTCGGAGTCTTCTTGCTTGTGGTCTTTGCACTGCAAGTGGATCCAGTCTCAGTGTACCTTGTGGCCTGCTCGTGGAGGTATATATCCAACCCCGCCCCCCCTCCTCTCCTGCCTCAAGTTGGAGTCAGTGCGTGGATGAAGTGAATGAGACAGCACCAAGACGGGAGGGAGGAGGGAGGAGGGAGGCAGTAGTGTGTGTGTGAGTGTGTGTGTGTGTGTGTGTGTGTGCGGGGGAGACGTGTTTGTGTGTGTGAGCGCGCGAGTGCGTGTGTAAGTGTGAGAGTGACTGTGTCAGCGAGCGCGCACGGAGGAGGGAGGGAGCTGGAGACTGAAGAGAAAGGGAGGGGTCTGAGCAGGGAGACAGAGACAAACGATTAGAAACACCAAACTACGCAGATATGAGCGCAGAGCCAAAGGTACCGGAAAGAGGATCAGCGGAATCGATGAGCATGAATGAAAGTGATGAGACGAACTGTCCTGAACGGCACATCACCGCAGCGTATGAGAAAGGAGGTTCAGTTATGGCAACGTGGTGATATAGGTTAATCACTATGAAATATTATTATGATAACTAATGTGTTAATTAATAAGCAACTGTAGTGTTTTTCATGCTCAGTAGGCAACATTTCATTTGTGGGCTTCGGGCTCACTCGCCCGTTCCCTGGGGCCATAAAAAGATCCTCTTTTTTTTTCTTTTTTTTTATAGGGTTAATTAAAAGGCAATCAAAGTTATTAAATGTTCATGTGGGGTGCTTTGTAAACTCAGCTGTGCAGAAAGCATGATGATGTGTGCTGCCTGTTCCGGCCGCTTTCATAGTGACGGTACCTACTCAACCAATTAAAAGTGGAGGTGAGGGTGCAGACAGGAGAGGAAACACACAGGCGCGCACACCTTCCCCTCCCCTATGTCGCCGTCTATCCGTCCCCTTCTCTCCAAAAACACACACTCACATACACAATCACACACATGCACACAGGAATAGGCATGCCCCCTCCTGTTCCCCTCCCCTCCCTCCCTGCCTATGCCTCCCTCACACAGTC